TGACACAAAGTGCGAGATTGCTAGGCAATGTCCAAGGTGTTGTGGTCCATGCCACAAGACATGCATCATCTGGATCATCAACTATGGGGAAAGCTACCATGATTTCCGGGTCAGGTACTTCCTTATAGTTAGAATTGGCTTCAAAATTGGATAATGGAGTTTTGCAACCTGTACTGTATGGCATGACCTGCAAAATTAACAAATGAACCACCAAATTAAGATGAGTTCCAAACTAGGAAACCATAGAACTCCTACAGAAATAATTATTCTTTGATTGCTTTTCATTCTCTTTCCCTCAAATTCCTAAGCCTACGTTTGGTTCGTGTTTTTTAAACTAAGATAAACAATCAAGCCATTTTTATTCATAGGGACCCACAAGCACTATCCACTTATCCACCACTCATTTTTTATCTATTCATAATTTAGATAGTTTATGAACACTTCCCAAAAATGAGTTAAATCACTGAAGATATTACACAACAAGAAATTTCTAAATTTTTCAGATCCCAGGTCATAGAAGGAAATGGAACCCTTTATGAGCAAGTGACAAAAAAAATAGAAATAAAGCCATATTCACAAACCATCGTGTCAACAACTTAACAAGTTTCTATATAACCAGTTCAGTAATAATGAGATTATTAACAATGATCAGCGAAAATTATTAGAACGTTGCAGAATACAAGTGCCATTCCCCTAGTAGGGGAATAGCCCAATGTAAATTATTTACGTAGAATTTGTGCCGACAACCTAAAGGACAGAAGTAAATGGAGACAAAACATTCAGTGAGTGGCTAATACCTCCACCATATCTGACATGACATTACAATTTACAATTATAACTCTGCAGTCCAGAGCTTCCTTCTGGCAAATTTCTGGTTTACCCCGAGAACATAGCATTTCACATTTTTAGCCATTGTAGAGCTATATAAACGAACGAGCAGGCATAAAACATGATAGATTAATCATAGCACAGGCCTTTCAATATAATTTTCTTATCACAATCATGTTAGAACAGTGAAGTTTACTGATCTATTTCATTACTCGGATATAGTGGGGAAGGAAAAACTTATATCTATTTCTCTTTATTAGGTACACTATCACATCGTGGAATTGTAAATATATCCGTCGTTCTTTTGTTGGTAAGACATCCTATTCTAAAAGGACTGCTGGATGTTCTTAAGACAACATGAACCCCATGGAGACCTTTCGTGTTTATACCAGTTTTTTAATATATGGTTCATACTGTAAGACTGGACCAATTTTCATATTATTGATTTCTCCCAAGAAACGGTATTTCATTACCTTAAACAATTACTTCAATACGATTTAAAACACTTCTTGTGCCTTTCTGGGAAGTATAAAAATGATTTAACTTGCTTTATCTCCAAGAGATCATTTTCCTAATTCTCCAATAGAAAAAAATTTGAAAACAATTGCAACTTAAACGGCCCAGGATAAATTATCTAGATTAAAATAATATACCATATGAATTGCCAAAATAAGAGTAAATAAATAACCACACAAATATAGCATACAACAAATAGGTGATTGCATAATATTTATAGGTAAACAAGAACAGAAATGAAAACCAAACCTTAAAACCCCGATAGACAAGACCCTTCTGGAACAGTTGTGAAAACACCCACCAAACCGACTCCATAAAATTCAAGTCCATAGTCTTGTAATCGTTCTTAAAATCAATCCATCTCCCCATCCTAACCACAGTCTTTTCCCACTCCTGAACATACCTCGTCACAATCGATCGGCACTCCTCATTGTAATTCCCAATCCCCATTTTAATCACGTCCTCCCGACTATTAATTTTCAGCTTCTGATCGATCTCATGCTCGACAGGCAGCCCGTGGCAATCCCATCCGAACCTGCGGGTCACGTGGTGGCCAGTCATCGACTGGTATCGGGTCACAATATCCTTGATTGTGCCAGCCAAAATATGTCCATAGTGCGGGAGACCAGTGGCAAAGGGTGGCCCATCGTAAAAGATGTACTCTGGTAAATGCTTCGTGCGCTCTAACTGAGTCTCAAATGCCTTGATATCGTCCCACCATGACAGGACTTTCTCCTCCTGCAGTGGGAACGAGAAATCCTTTCCTTCACAGACGTCATCCATTGATGAATCTACGCCGCCGCGCAGCGACCCCATCTAGAGCTTCAGTTCAGGCGATGGAGGATAGGGTTGTGGAGTGGCGTTTTTATGGATATGTCAATGCCGAGCATATTTCTTTCTTTAACGTTATTGGCTAATACAAGGCTGAAGCCCAATTATTGTTTACAGATCTGGAATGTCTCGGACCAATAAGATTACTTTTGGACTGACCTATATGGGCCGAGGGCCTTGCAGCAGTCCATATTCCTTGATCTTGAGATAGGGCTGGCAACGGATCCCAGCTGTTACCGGCTCACGAGGCTGGCTTCTATTGGCGGCTAGTCGACCGTCAAGATTTTGAAAAGAAAGCCCTAAAAATCTGAATTAAATTTTAAGTCAAAGTGAATAATTAATTTTAATCATACATTTTATTAACTTTTATTGATATATTTTAAAAATCTGAATTTTATCTAAACCAAATAGGAGCTAAATATCCAAACATATATCCTCCCCCATTTCGGCATCGAACCATGTAATGCCGTCATTAAATTTTGACAATCATATATGCAGTACGTCTAAAGTTGTCTAAATATACAAGTATCAAGGCACATGCACTTTCTATTTTATTCTTATGAGGGACGGATTTGCGGGGCGGCGGGGGACTAGCTGGGCTGTAGTCCCCCCCTCCGCGTATTAGCCCAGCTTGAATTTTTTTAATCCAATTTTGAATTCAAACTTGGATCCGTCTCTTTCTTATCCTTAACAAAGAAAAATAATAATAATAAAATTAAAGGCATTGAATATAACCAATAGTTACTCCACGGTAGTTGCCTTTATTCTTCTTTCTCTGAGTGGGCAATCCAGATTCACACACATGAACAAGTTTCACAATACTCTACCACGGAAAACGGGATTACATAATACTCATAGGCTTAGCATTGTGTTCTCGATTCTCTTCAGTTTCTTATTTCTTCTTTCCATTCCAGGATCTGTTGAAGAAAGCACCTCGGCGTACAAAAGAGCCGACGTCAGCTATGGTGCAGGTGCTGTCCTAGGTGACATCTCCCGAGGCATCCTCCGAGGCGTCTTCGTCCAAAGTGACGTGGACCGAGGTGTCCAAATCACTGAGGCATCTTCGTTCGAAGTGATGTGGGTCGAGGCGTCCAGATCACCAAGGGGATGCGGATAGAGGTGTCCAGATCAACCGAGGTGTCGCTGTCCAAAGTGATGTGGACGGAGGCAGTACGTGTGGGAGAAGTGCCTCTCTGTCGCCATTTTTACAAATGAACCTTTTTGGTCAACTCTGTGTTCATGTCTTTAGGAATGATAGATGTGACATCTCTGTCAAGTGTAACCTCCTAGTTAGAAGAATTATTTGCCTGCCTACCCATGAAACGATTGATGGATGCCTACGAACAGACGTCTCGTACGATTAGATGAGTCCACATATCTCGCATTCAACGATGCCCCTTCTAACATTCTCCCTATAAATACCAAAGAGCCCAGCTTGAATAAGTTAAAATTATTCCACTATAAAAAGCATATTTGTTTTCTTCTCCCCCACATATAGAGATTTCGACAAATTGCCACCACCAGAATATACATTCACCGTCAACTGACTTGATTGTGGGAGTGTATATGGCCACTACACCTTCGTTGGGAATGACATATTTGTCTTCTTCTAGGGGACAGCTTAGTAGGATTTTTGAAAAGTCAAAAGTCACCAGCTAAAAGAAACTGAATTTAGATATGTAGGGATAAATTTCTAAAAGTGTTTTAAAGCAAATTGATGTTAAGTACCTTTTTCAGAAACTTTTTTTTTTTTTACGAGAAGTATAAACAAAATCGCAAATTCTCCCAACTACATTTTTCACAAATGCACTTGAGAGTTGAGACATGTTTGATATATACCACACATGACACTTGATTTGAAATAATATAATAGATTATATTTTAAATTTTTTTTTCGTGGAAAAGTGAATACACGAGCCGCATTCATTTTTTGGGTTTATTGGGACATGATGTAGTGAATATGTCATTCTATGTTCATGGACAAAACTCCCACATGTTTTCTTCCCAAAGAATTTGTGAAATTTTGTGGATTTAGTTACTTCAATTCAGTTTCCATGTTACTAGCCCCTTTGTGAAACTTGATAAGGTTGTCTTGCAAATGCTGCAAAAATTGATTCGAGTTAGAAAAAAAATAAAAAGGACATTGCATGTGAACATTTTAGATAGAAACATGTAAACATGTGAGAGTAAAAGATGTGTTGATAGCATATTTGGCTAAGCTCAAAACATTCGCTCATCATAAGCAAGTCTACTTAAAAATAACATGCAGTGACAAGTTTGGAAAATAAAAAATTTACTTTTTACTTATTTTTAAGTACCAAATCCATGCAATTTAGAGGGATTCACTTAACTTTTACCAAGAGTATAAGAAAATAGTTTGACGACGTTTTTCTTGGTGGCATTTCTGGCACCGAGCATACTATTCAATGCAATCAAATCTCACCAAAATTCCCCGAGCATCTATTTCTTCTGTCTTGCATAGCATAACTCTTCTTGTTTGTCAATGCAATTTTTAACACTGATAACACTCACTATTTATAACACCGTAGCTACCGACCTTTAATGGTAAATAGCTTAATATTTTTTGCGATGGGTCCTCGACCTTTGATTTATAACACACTGGGTATTTTGTAATGGGAAAAAAAGCTTCAAATCGATCATTAAAAGTTCAAATTTCAAGTAAAATGATTGGTATACCCTTGTTTTGATTCAACCATTTCGAGAGGTTTTCTAAGTTCAAAATAACATCTATTATTATTTTTTTTACAACATTTATTGAATCAACTAGTATGTTATATTCACTTTCAACATGATCGTGTGTTTTATTTCCCTCAAATTCTTCATGATCAATAATAAATTCAAATCCTGGATTTCCAGTTTAGATCGTTTTGTTGGCCATTCGAGTGAGTCCCAATCTGGAAGAATGGAAGTTGTTCATGTGATTTAGAGTTTCGTGGTTTCGAGACTCAAATGCGTCCGTAGTCATCAGCTGAGGCTTTCGTGGCGAAGGAAGGTGGGAATCAGCTCGGATGCCTCCACACATTGGATCCGAATACTGGTTATAGCCCTCAAAGCCTTTCCGAGCATAGCTATAGAATGTTATGTTCCACCATGTCCGCGCTCTCCGTTTAACTTCCTGCAAATTCCTTTGCAGTCACATTCATGTCCAACGAAGACTCTTCTTTCTCTCTGCCGCCGCATCACCCCAATGGCGGCAGACCACCGATATCCTCCTCCTCTGTGCCGCCGCTCAAACCCTTTCCCAAAGCCAACAAATCCACGCTCAGGCAGTCCTTCACGGCCATCTCCCCCGCAGCGTTTCCATTTCCTCAGCCCTTATCCTCTCTTACGCCAACTTTTATTCCCAACCCTCCGCCCTCTACGCTCTCTTCTCTCAGACCCTCCCCTTTTCTCGCTCCGCTTTCCTCCATAACACACTCCTCAGAGCATACACTGTTCTAGCCAGTGGGTCCCAGAAAAGCTACATTGATGCTGCTCGTGGGTTTTTGATATACAACGACTTGTTCAGGAACACTGGTTTCCAGCCTGATGATCACACATTTCCTTTTGTATTGAAGCTTTGTGCAGATTTTTTAGAAAGAGCCAAAGGGTTGGAAGTACACGGGATGTTGACCAAGACTAGGTTTAATGATGATGTGTTTGTGAATAACACCCTTCTTCTGTTTTATGGGAATTGTGGGGATTTGGGGAGTGTTGAGAAGCTGTTCGACGACATGCCTGAAAGAGACTTGATCTCGTGGAATACCGTTATTAGGGTGTTTTCAGATAATGGGTGTTGGTTGGAAACTGTTGGGTTGTTCAAGGAGATGGTTTTGGTGTCCAGGTTTAGGCCTAATACGGTTACTGTCGTGAGTGTGTTGCCTGTATGCGCGTGGCTTGAGGATATAAATTTAGTTAGTTCGGTTCATTGTTATGTCTTCAAGGTTGGTTTGGATGGTGAAGTGAGGATTGGCAATGCAATGGTCGACGCTTATGGGAAGTGTGGGAATGTTGCGGCTTTAAGTGGGGTGTTTGAAGAAATGGTTGAAAGGAATGAAGTTTCTTGGAATTCACTTATTGGTGGTTTGGCATATAGAGGTTTTAATACTGATGCTTTGGATAGTTTTAGGCTAATGATTAATGAGAATATGAAATTGAATTCCATAACTATAGCCACTATGCTACCAGCATTGGTAGATCTAAGATTTTTCAGTAAAGGAAGAGAAGTTCATGGTTTTAGTATAAAAATGGGGGTAGACTCCGATGTTTTTGTAGCTAATGCATTGATTGATATGTACGGAAAATGGGGACATTTCACTGGAGCGTCAAACGTGTTTTGTAAGATGGACCTGAAGAATGTAGTGTCGTGGAATTCCATGATTGGTAACTTTGCTCAAAATAAGAGAGAGTTGGAAGCTATAAATCTTGTTAGAGAAATGCAAGCTCATGGTGAAATTCCTAACTCTGTCACTTTAACTAATGTTCTTCCTGCATGTGCCCGACTAGGTTCTCTTTACCAGGGAAAGGAAATACACGCCAGGACAATCAGAAAAGGGTCTGCCTTTGAATTATTTGTCTCAAACGCGTTAACAGACATGTATGCTAAATGTGGCTGCCTAGATCTTGCTCAAAACGTATTTGATACATCTCTCAGAGATGAAGTATCATATAATATACTAATCACAGGCTATTCTCAGACAAATGATTGTCACAATTCTCTTAGCCTGTTTTCAGAAATGGAAATGGTGGGGATGAAGCAGGATATAGTTTCCTACATGGGAGTACTCACGGCCTGTGCAAACATATTGGCAATCAGAAAAGGAATGGAGGTCCATGCATTTGCAATGAGAAGGTTATCTCATGAACATCTTTTTGTTGCAAATTCACTTCTGGACTTTTACACTAAATGTGGACGGATCAAAATTGCCACAAAGGTTTTTGATCGTATCCCTTTGAGGGACGCTGCATCATGGAATACCATGATTTTGGGGTTTGGAATGCTTGGAGAAGTAGGGACTGCAATCAATTACTTTGAAGCCATGAAGGAGGATAACGTTGAATATGACTCGGTTTCGTATATCGCAGTTCTATCTGCTTGTAGTCATGGTGGATTAGTTGAAAAAGGGAAAGAATACTTTGATGACATGTTAGCTCAAAATATCAAGCCCTCTGGGATGCATTATGCATGCATGGTGGATCTTCTTGGCCGTTCTGGCCTCATGGAACAGGCAGTAGATCTTATAAAAAGCTTGTCAATGAAACCCGATGCAAATATTTGGGGTGCTTTACTTGGGGCATGTCGACTCCATGGGAATGTGGAACTGGGCTGTTGGGCAGCAGAGCATCTACTTGAGCTGAGGCCAGATCATTCTGGTTCTTATGCACTACTTTCAAACATGTATGCAGAAGCAGGGAGGTGGGATGAGGCAGATAGGATCAGGAAATTGATGAATGGGAGGAAAGTGAAGAAGAATCCTGGATGCAGTTGGGTTCAGATTCAAGACCAATTGCACAGTTTTATTGTTGGACAAAGATTAGATCCAAGTTTGTTACTTGAGAGTTCGCGTTAGTGGCTTCAAAATGTGGTCGATCCCAAGGTACTTTTGCATGTTTAGTAAAAGAATTACACGATAGTGCGATACTAGACAGAGTTGAGGAAAACAAAAGAAACTAAAATTTTGTTAATATATAATAAACAGCGTTGTGGGAAAACAAAATAATCTGGTCATGAATGTATGCAATGACAGCTTCTGGTTTTGAGGCCCAATTTCTTTTAGAATCCAATTTTTGCTGAGTAACTCTCTCCCTACTTATTTATTCAATTCATTCTTATTATGTTGTTTTGTTATGCTAGATTTCAGAAAAGTGCAAATTGGGCAGTTTCTAAGAAATTACAAGAGAGCTTCAAGGATTGGAAAGACTAATGAATATATCGATGCGATTGCATTTTGATTATAAAAGTAAAATAAAAATTCAAGTACTTGTCACCCAATTTCAATCTGTTAGCATTGTAAACAGCATTCTTCGTACAGAAATAGAAGCCATTGTCTAGTATTAACTAACACTACGTCCAAACGGGCCTTTAAGAACTGTAGAGTTCGAACTGTCCCACATGCTATTATGGGATACAAACTTGCCCAGAATATAATATCTGTTAGGAATTCACTAACCTCACCGTTGCGCCAATTTTTCTTAATAGGCTTCAACTGCTCAAAACTCCTGTAACAAGGATAGATCATTTGCACCAATAAGAAATTTTTTTCGTACCAGCTTAGCAACACCAAAAACCTACGATGTTTCAGGATGTTATTTTACACCACTGGCCACAGCCATCCACCAAGTAGGTTGCTTTCACTATCAAAGAAGACAAGATTCAGAAACATGCAAATTACCCAACAGACAAGTTCAATTGAGTTCCCTTTACCAACATTTTTGTGCATGTCCGAGCAGACCATTTCGGTAAAAAATCACCCTTCCACACCCAGGCCATACTGGTCCAATATTAAGTGAAAAAGAATAGTATATCACAAAAAGTTATGACGAGTGACAAACAACAGCAGTGCAAGAAGATTCATCATCCACAACCCACAATCTCAATTGTACTAGCTGCCTTTGTATTATATCCAGTTTGGTCTCAGAAGACCAGAAAGCAAATTTCTTTTCAGTCCCTAGAGAACTTTGGTTAGCAACAGCAATGTTGATACCAATGCCTAAGTGTGTCTCGTTTATGCTGTTATATTTGACGCTCTTTTCTCTCCATAATTTTTCCACTGCATAAAAAAATACGCTGTCATGAGGAACTGAATCTTTTCTCAATGTGTTCACCAATGTCGCAGCTTCACGTATAAAATCATCGACCCAAAGTTTTAAAACAGGTGATGAGCTCCTGACATAAAGAAGTCGATAACTCTTCCCAATAACAAAATCATTTGTCTGCTCGAAGGAATTGAGAAATAAATCTCTTGTAAGGGGAATCATGTTGGCATCAAGCAGCCAGGCGCTATAACCAAGTTCCAAGCATTTTTTAGTCACAAATGCCTTCACAAGAATCTCCTTGATAAGTTTGTCCATTGAATTTTGGAACTTCAAAGACTTGGCAAGTTTGGAAATATTGTAAAACTGGTCTGCATCAATTACAGGATGCCCTCTTTTTGCAAGATCAAGTAGGAAAAGTGAAGTTGGACCGATAAAGATATAGTTTCTAATATTCAGCCTCTCAATGTGGCAGAGAAAATTCCAGATAATTGTCTCTGATATCCTGTACAGGCTTATTACTATAACGGTGTCCATTTTCTGCACAGATTGAAGAATGGATCTAAGCTCGTCAGGACTTCTCACTATCCTATTAGTAAATACTTCTCTGAAGCAGAAGTCATACCACTTGAGATCACTTAAAGGATGTAGTTTCAGAGAGTTTAGATCATTAGAATTTTCATCCAGTAAGTAAGAATCGGGTCCTGCTGTTTTCCCATAATTAACACCAGCATCTCTATGAGAGACGCTGAGTGCTCTCTCTTGCAAGAAATTGGTATAAAAGTTGAAATACCCATGAGAATGGATAAATTTAATAAACCAAGGAGTCCAAATTCTCTCTCCCATCTTTTTGTACCATCCATTTGTCACCTATTAGACATCAATGTTCCATGTGAGAAGGACCACAACAAACAAATTGGGACTAGGAAACATTTCCATTTAAAGACATGGACAAGAAAAGAATAAACAAAGAAAGCAACTATAAGGAAAAAAAATTACCATCCCCTCGAGGTATGGCTTCATGCCTTTTGCTTTGTGTATATCGTACCAGAGACGGAACTCTTTCCAGTGTTTTGGAAACAGAAGCTGGCCCCAAGTGCCAACCAGCTGATACAAGAAAAGGTGAGTTTCACTATCTAAATGCATCTTGTTTCCGTGTTTACCTGTCAGCAGCAATCAATACAAAAAAGACTGTTATAGGTTAAAATGCTCTCTGGCAAGGAAAATTCATGATAGTGAATCATATAAAGATGACATGGAGAGTCACACTCCTGTGACTGCAACATCATCAACTATAGTTATCTGCTACCATAGAAACCAAAGGAAACATATCAAATGGGATCCCCAACTATGCAAGAATAATGAAAGGAAAGTGCAGAGAGGATTAGTCATTGCAGTTTTGATGTGCTTTAGAAGGAATAAATTTGCTTTTAACTTGTGATGGACATAACCCTGAAGATTAGCATTCGTCTGCATGTCATCTCAACGAAGAACAGTGTAGATTGAGACCGGTAACAGGACGTGTTTACTCACATGCAGACATAATACAGTTGGCTACACCAGCATCCTAAATTCATGTGACTAGTGCAGATGAAGATATCACAGATTGCTTTAATGGTTCTCTTTTTGGCAGAAACTAAGATGAGAATTCATAAAATTTTAGGAAATTTAAAACATGGGTGTTAGTTTGTTGAATTTTGCACATTATTAAATCAAAATATTCCAAAACATGTATGAAATTATAGCCTTGTAGTTGTAAGTTGAATTGATTTTACTCATCTTAAGAATTGATCTGACTAAACACTGATGATCAAAAAAGGAAAATAGATTCAAATTCTTGGGGTCAAAATTCCTGAAAATTTGGAATTCTCAAGAATGCAGTCCCTTTTAAGCAATATGTAGGTGAGATGCACTTTGAATTGTTGTAAATATGGTTTTAGCTCATTATTTTCTCTTCATGCTACATCAAGCAAGGTGACGACTAAGGTGTCAAACAACAAATGACAAAAGAATACTATATAGTCTTCCTATTGCAACAAGTTTCCAACTTATTTGTCTCAGAAATCATTTCCAATTTCAGCATAAACACTGCTGATACATGTTCCAGCTTTGCTTGAGTGTAACTGTAATGTCAGTATATTACACAGAAAATGTGTTGGATTGTGTGTTTGCTTTGCATGTTCCTATTCTATTCTGTTTAGCATTACTCTTATAGTTGGAGAGTAAGGTTTACTCCATAAGAAAATATATAACAACTATTTACAAGGTATTTGAAAACTGTTCAATGCTTACAATTAAAGTCTTACTTAACGAATGAGCAAAAACCCCATGACATAAATTCTATCTATTTGTGCATTTTCTTAGCAACTACAGATTAAAGTGGCAAAATAAAAATCCCCAAAAAATTGAAATATAACAAAAGAAAACGAAAATACCTGGGACGAACCTCGGCCGCTGCAGCGATGCCCCATAAATCATAGGGCTAAAATTTGAAGCATTATAGTAGTAATTCAATATCATAGACTTAAGAAACCTATAGATAAAATATAGAATTTGGATCAGTCCCGTCTGTGATAAAACAAAAATCCCATACACATAAATTCTAGAAAATGAACAATAAAGAAAAAATAAAACCTATAATAAAGAGGTGAAACCTCCAGATCGTCTTCAACAATAAACGCAAACTCATGATCCGAACTGGGCCACCAGGCCTCAAGCCACTGAGCCTGAAGCCCAGCATTTGAAGTTCGATAATGCACAAACTTTTCACCAAATTTCCACTCAAACCCATCAACAAAGTCAAGAATCTCCTTCGATAGATTCAATCTTTGGTCCAAATCCGCAGACCCATAATTCGAATCTTGCACGAAATGATCAATATATACATGAAGATGCACTTTGTTAATGCCATCATACTGCGCTTTGGCTAGAGATTTGAGGCAGCGGGAGAGAGAGGAGAGACGGTTGAATGTGAGGACTTTGATGAGAAGAGTGAAATTTGGTCCAGGATTTGAGGTTGAAATTGTGGGGAATTGAGGAAGGATTTGGGACCTGGGACTGGATGGGGAGAGAGAGAAGAGGAAAATGGTGGAGAGAGAGAGGAGGAGGAAGAGGAGGAGGAAGGGGAGTATGTTCTTCGAGGGCGCCATTGTTGCTACCGCTAGAAGAGTGTACAAGATCTAAAGAACACTTGCAAATTATAAGCTATATCCAATAAAATTATTGATAAAGAATTTATAAATGAAATTTGAATTAGTCTGATTCTTCCCCCGTTAAAATGAAAAATATAACCGTTATTCATTACATCAAGTCACCAAATTAAAATTTTTATCTTTGTATGGAATCCAAAACAACTATATTTTTCATTCTCAATTTTACAAAAAGGGAAACAAATGCCCTCAGAATGTGTTTAATTGACTTAACTTTATGATAAATGTCATTTTTTACCCAAATTTCTGTTTTTGGGATATTTGATTGATAAATTTTTTCATAGAAAATATTTTTCAACTTTTGATCACGTAACTATATTTTTCTCGAAAACATGAAAAATATTTTCTTAGGGAGGGGTACTTTTATTTTTTAGGTAATTCACTATCTCGTTCTCTATCTTATTTATCTACTTCGTCTCATCTATCTACTAATAAAAATGGACAAGCATAATATTTTCTAATTAGAAAACTAAATCAAGTAAATAAATTTAAGCCCTGATTGATATGAAAATTTTTCCATCTTTTTGATTGTTTGATTGGGCAAAATTTTTATGGAATTCATTTTCCCACTCACACCCACCCCACCCCAAACGTGACTTCTTTTACATGAATTGATGGAAACTAATTCCCATGTTTTTGGTGGGAATTGGTTTTTCCAGGTTTTTTTTATTTTTTTGGCAATGGAAATAAATTCTATCCCTTTAATCGACAATTTTCATGAAAAATAAGGCCAAACAGACGTCAAAAGATCCAAAATTTCAACATTTTTCATTTAAAAAATTATACAAATCAAACACATTTAATTGACAATTATCAGTAAAACAAGGCAATTCAATTTTCTTAAATTCGTTTTCTTTCCACCAAAATTCAATTTCATGAAAAATAAGGCCAAACAGACGTCAAAAGATCCAAAATTTCAATATTTTTCATGGGAAAAATTATACAAATCAAACACATTTAATTGATAATTATCAGTAAAACAAGGCGATTCAATTTTCTTAAATTCGTTTTCTTTCCACCAAAATTCAATTCTTACAATCAAATGAACCCTTAATTAATTATTTCATATTCTTTTCATATAAATTACATGTTTGAAATTAAACACACTGTTAGATTATTAGTTTCCTTTGAAAATTGAAATAGGTATTAGCTTTAAATTGTGTGGTTCGTTTCACAACACTAATTTTAAACTTGGATAGTTCGTTTATTAAACAATAAATCTTAAATTTTGATTGTATCTTTGATCATTAGATAAATTAAATTAATAGTTTGTAGTTAATAAGTCCTGATAATTAAAACTCGAGATCTATCTTAAGATCGACCTCATTCGTAGGAGTGGCTCGAGCCATTCTACATCATTTATTTATTTTATCGTTAATAGGTGTGAAATATTATCCTTTAACGCGGTCAGCACGTCTTACAAAATATGTTGTCCGCAAATGTTGGTGACTCCAATATAGCGGATAGAATTCACCTATTTTAGAGTTAGTGTTAGGTTTTCATATGAATGAAGGAAAATTTCATTATTCTTGAATGAATGTATACAAGCATTTTTTAGTACACGTGAAATAACCTAGGCTAATTTAGGAATGGAAATCATTAGAATAATTACAGTTGAGTGATAAGGAAAACAATATTNAAATAACCTAGGCTAATTTAGGAATGGAAATCATTAGAATAATTACAGTTGAGTGATAAGGAAAACAATATTTCTCAATATGGCATAACTCTTAATACTCCCCCTCAAGTTGGACATGAAAATCCGTAATGCCCAACTTGAGAGTGAAATGTTGAAAAAGATCCTTCCCGAGAGCCATGGTGAAAATGTCAGCCAAATTGAGTTTGGTAGAGACCTGTGTAGGGAGGATCAATCCAGAAAGATATTTCTCACGCACCAAATAGCAATCAATTTCAATGTGTTTAGTACGTTCATGAAAAATCGGATTGTGAGTGATGTGAAGGGCAGCATCATTATCACAAAAAGTGGAATAGGCTTTGAGTCGAAGACAGTGAGATCACGCAGAAGAGACTTGAGCCAAACAAATTCACAAGTGGTCATAGCCAAAGCACGGTACTCAGCTTTGGCAGAGGAACGAGAAACAACTGTCTATTTCTTCGTGCGCCAAGAGATGGGGCTCATTCCAAGTGTAATAAAGAACCCAGTAGTGGGGCAACTAGCCCAATCAGAATCCGAGTATGCCAAAAGTCGAAGATCACACTGTGTAGAATAAAATAATCCATGACCTGGAGATCCCTTCAGGTACTGGAGAACGTGAATGGCAGCTTGATAGTGTGAATCCCGAGGACTCTGCATGAATTGGCTCAGCATAGTGACAGAGAATGAGATGTCTGGACGAGTAATAGTAAGGTAAAGAAGGCGACCCACTAGTCGTTGGTATGGACTAGGATCAGGGAGCAAAGTGCCTGCATCCGGAGTGAGTTTCAAATTCTGATCCATGGGAAAAGCAGCAGGCCGAGAACCCAAATGGCCAGAGTCGGCAAGAATATCCAAGGCATATTTCCTATGATTGACAAAGATTTCATGTGGCGATCGTGCAACTTCAAGACCTAGAAAATACTTCATGTTGCCTAAGTCTTTGATTTTAAAATGCTTGTCAAGAAAAGATTTGAGTGTAGTAATGGCTGAAAGATCATTTCCTGTAATTAACATGTCATCAACATAAACCAAAACCACAGTAAAAGAAGAACCAAAAGTTCGAGTAAATAGTGAGTGATCTGCCGCATATTGAGTGAAGCCATCAGATAATAACACAGAAGACAATTTTGAATACCAACTGCGGAAAGCCTGCTTAAGGCCATAAAGAGATTTAAGGAAGCGACAAACACGAGTCTCCCCTTTTCGACCATAACCGGGAGGAAGTGTCACGTAAACCTCTTCTGCTAAATCACCATGAAGAAAAGCATTATTGACATCAAGTTGATGAAGGTGCCAATGACGGACAGCTGCAATAGGCAATACACAACAGACAATAACAAGTTTAGCTACGGGTGCAAAAGTCTCATGATAATCAAGGCCCTCAACTTGATTGTACCCCTTGGCCACTAACCGAGCTTTATACCTTTCAATGGAACCATCAACATGAAGTTTGGTTTTGAATACCCACTTGTAGCCAATAGGAGTCTTACCATGGGGAAGGGATGTGAGACGCCAAGTGTTGTTAGATTCAAGAGCTCGAATCTCAGCTTGCATAGCATCACGCCAATGAGAGTGTTGTACAGCTTGAGAATATCGAGTAGGGTCAGGTGATTAAGATAAGGCAAATAAAAATGCAAAATGAGCAGGTGAAAATTTATGATAAGAAAGAAAGTTTGAGAGGGGGTGAGCAGCACCTGAAGACGTGGCTGGAGCGGTGGTGTGCACAACAGGGGACGATGATGGGAGGGTAGGACATATATAATCGGCAAGATGAGCAGGACGTTGTCTATTACTTCATCCCGAGAGATTACAGTCTTCTTACTCTCTAAATCATAAACCCGATATGCACTATGAGTTCGAGGGTATCCTAAGAAGACATGGGCCGAGCACGAGGTTGAAACTTATCACGATCGGCATATATGGTGTGAGTATAGCAAAGGTAACCAAAGACACGTAAATGGTCATATCGTGGTGCATGTTGATAAAGACGCTCGAAAGGGAAAACGTGGTTTAAGGATGTAGATGGGGTGCGATTGATGAGATATGTAGCGGTGAGTACACATTTACCCCAAAAAGTGATGGGAAGGTGGGCTTAAAAACGTAAGCATTGAGCAACATTTAGAATATGACAGTATTTACGCTCAGCAACACCATTCTGTTGAGGTGTTTCCACGCAAGTGCGTTCATGGAGGGTACCTTGTTTAGAGAAAAAATCCTGAGTTGCACTAGCAAGGAATTCTTGATCATTATCAGTGCGGATGTGTCGTATGTTGGAATTAAATTGAGTGCGAATCATAGCAAAGAATGTGCGAAGACATGTTAAAGTTTCAGATTTTGAAAGCATTAGGTACAACCATGTAACTCGAGTGTATTCGTCCACAATTGTTAAAAAATAATGTGCACCTGATAGAGAAGCGGTGTGATAGTCGCCCCAAATATCACAAAAAATACGTTCAAAAGACATCAAACTTTTATTTGTAATTAATTGAAAAGGTAATCAGACATGTTTCTCACGATTACAAGCGTCACGATGATTATTAATTTGAGGATGAGAAATAAATTAGGGAACATTATGGGGGGAAGGGTGACCTAAATGTTGATGCCATATGTCAAAGGAAATCTGACTAGATGATTGAAGAGCAGTTGTTGGATTATTCTGGAAGTAGTACAGCCCATTACGCTCAATACCCAATCCAATCAGCATCTTCGTATTTAGGTCCTGAAAAGTACAAAAAGTGGGAAAAAAAGAGACAACACAATTGAGAGACTTCGTTAGTTAGCTGACAGATAGCAAATTAAATTGAAAAGCTGGAACAGATAAAACATTTGAAAGTCTGAGAGAAGGTGACAAATTAATATCACCCGAATTAGACACTGTAGCATGAGAACCTGTGGGGAGATAAACAGAACGAGGGCAAGTGGCATTATTGGAATTATTTAAAATTGAGGTAGTGATGTGGTGTGTTGTACCACTATCAATGACCCAACATTTGGAATCAAGAGAAGAAGCAGAGAAGGAACCTGTGAACGAGTGATTTGGGGATTTCAGAAGTTCCATTAACGAGGTAAATTGCTCGTGGGAGAAGCTAGGTGTGGTGCTACCGGTTGAGGGCGCGGCGGTGGAGGGCTCTGAAATGGCCGAAATCTGTTGCACCACCAGTGATGGAGGTCCTTGCCCATTTCGTTTTCCCTTCGATGGCCACCATTCAGGGTACCCTATTATCTCGAAACACCTTGAACGAGGGTGTCCCAGTTTGCCAAATGCCTCGCAAGGAGATGTTCCAGCCGGCCCAACACGCTTTGGTCGAGATGATGTTTTCTGTGATGTTGATGAACGGGTAAGCAAGGCTAAAAATTCTGGTCGAGAGGCAGGTAATTGGACGAGGCGTTGGGCTTCTTCTTGGTGGAGAATGGCGTAGCAACGCCCAATTAAGGGAAGAGGGTCCATGGCTAAGATTTGAGACCAAAGTTGTTGGTAGTTATCATTCAATCCCATGAGAAACTGGTATACTTGATCCGAATCATAGAGTTCAGATAATGTTTTGGCTGCACCGCAAGTACATGGGGTTGTGGGCTGGAGTGAAGCCAATTCATCCCAAAGTTCCTTCAATCTTCCATAATAGGCTGTGACAGATTGTTGCTCTTGATTGAGGTTGGCTAGTTCACGCATCAATCAAAAATTTTTTGTTTGGTTACTCTGCTGAAAACGTGTTTCCGGTTCAATCCATAGGTCGTTAGGTGTTTCACAATAGATGAGGCTTGCGGCGAGAGATCTATCAATGGAATGAAGGAGCCACGACATTATCATGTCGCAACATCGATCCCAGAGTTGTGCAGCGGCCGTATCGGTGGTTGGACGTTTAATGGTGCCGAGAACGAAACCCAATTTATTTTTGGCATTCAAGGCATGAGTTATTGATCTTCTCCAAGCAGGGTAATTGTCCCTATTAAGAATTGCCTCAACAAGTACTTGGTTGGGTTGGTCAAATGAATGTAGAAAGTAAGGGGATGAAGCATCTATAAGGGACTAAGTGACATCCGGAATATGAGCAGCGGCTGAATCATCCATGGTGCAGCCGTAGGGGTATGAATTTTCTAACCTAGTTGCTCTGATACCATGTTAGGTTTTCATATAAATGAAGGAAAATTTCATTATTCTTGAATGAATGTATACAAGCATTTTATAGTGCACGTGAAATAACCTAGGCTAATTTAGGAATTGAAATCATTAGAATAATTACAGTTGAGTGATAAGGAAAACAATATTTCTCAATATGGTATAACTCTTAACAGTTAGTGTGCACAACAACCTATTTTTCCAACTAAGAGATTCCATATAGTCTTCACGAGACGTAGAGCCCTTTAGATTTTTATCTGTCCTGACTATCTTTCAAGAAAAAGTTATATGTAACTTTACAAGTCTTACTCCCCTTTAAAATTAATTTGTATGAGATGATGTCTAAATCACTAACATGTCTATAGGTAGAACTTTATTGAACAATATGAAGATTATGATAGCCCGTGAGTTGTGTCAATATTCATTTGATTGTCGTCTCGACAAAACAAGTTAAAAATCGATTTTTAGTTGATTTCGATAAAAGTTGATAAAAAAACATAGTTGAAAAGTTGTAGGTCTTATGAAATATATGATTAAAATTAGGACATGTTCGATAGTAATTATGAGAATTAATTTTTTGATCGTTAGAGGGAAAAATGGGTCCCATCCTACAGTAAAGAAGTCAAAAATGACGACAAGAATAGTAAAATAATGATAAAAAAATTATTTTTTTGGGGTGAAAAATTGCTACTAAAGGGCGGCTTAATGTTGACTTTAACTAAATCAAACAAGGTCATAGCATCAAAGGTCTTAAAGTATTGAGGGTCATATATCAAACTGAATTTCTCTAGTTTGTCAATTGTGAACGTCATAAAATCCTGCTGTACAAAATGGTTGAACTAAACATGGTATAAGAATGACAAAGGTAAATCACATTTCTGACTCAAAGTATTACTCTCATTCACACTAATAGCTTCACCTTAGTCCTAAAAATTTCGTCAAAATAGTTGAAATAACCGCAGCCACTTTGGGACTTGCTTGATGCTTTGCTAGACTAGCAGGGTTCACCATTACTGCAAAACAATCAACAATATCAGAAATAGAAAGAACCATATATTATTACTAGTCTTTGTATGTTTTATAGATCATAAGGTCTCTTCAGGAATCTATATATTTTCAAGGATTTACAATTGAGGACAGATTCGTCTAAAGATTGTGCGTAGCTTTCTCTGCCGAATGGAACCATTTATTGTTTATAAAATTGCCAAACAGCTAAAAAAGTAAAGGACTAAACAGGTGAAAGCATTCCCTGGGAAAATAAATCCATATAGTTGAGTTGGATTGTCCTATGTATACATAATGATGTACACAAAGCATTACACCCCCTCTCACATGAAGGGGGACCACATACAATAAAATATTCGTGGACCTCTCTCCATGTGAGAGGGGTGTAATCTATTGTGTTCACATAGAATAATCCAGTTGAGTTTGATTATGTATACCGTCTAGAAGAGCACCAATCACTTCTGGATCATTGAATGTTGCCATCAATTCAGCGTCCTGTATAGTGACAGCAAAAATGAACAATTATTTTCTGCAGGAATGGACATTACTACATCATATTATCAGCAGAATGCATGATCCAGATTATATGGTTATTTGAAACAAGCTCAGCAGAAGGTAGTTTAGTAATTACATTTTTGTTGTACTCAGTAAATCCCCCTAGCATGCCACCCTGACTTCCACTTGGCGAAGACTGTTCTTGATTCTTATCCTTCAGATATGCAGCCTACACCATAATGCATAAGACAAAATCAGATTTCATATGTAGACAACATACAGTATCAAACCACTGAGTAAATATGGTTTACCCGAGCCTGGAACCGGCGGCGCACTTGATTACGCTCAAATTTTTTGTACCTTTCCTCTCTGCGAAGCCTTTCATATTTTCGCCGGTGTTCCTCAACTTTATGTGCATTGGACCAAACCTTTTACAAGATTCAAACCACAATAACAGTTTGTTTAGGAAAAAGGGGAGAAAATTCCATATTTTAATAGTTCTTTCAGACCTTAACAATTCTTTAGTCTTAATTATATTGTCTCACATAAATTTAACTGTGGGTGGAAAAAATGCACAAACAAGTGCATTACAAGCAGGGGCGGACCCATTAAGGGCTGAGAGGGAGCAGTTGCATCCACTGAACCCTTAATTTTTTACATTTACAAAGTAGCTCACATCATTTTTAGTCCCTAATTTTAAGTTTTTAACCCATAATTGTTACATAATTTTGTCTCACCCCCACTGAATCATGTTCCTGGGTCCGCCCTTGATTACAAGTGCATGATAGAGCACAAATATGTAAAGGCCAACCTTTTCAAGTGCCACAATGATTTCCTCGTCGTAGTCCAGCTTTGACGCCTTGTGAAGATCCTTCACAGCCTCTTCCCATTGGCCAAGCATTGCTTGTGCTATGCCACGAGATTTGTACCCTTTAGCAGAATTTGGATTGATCTGTGACTAACATTCTGATATATGTGAGGTTCTATCCAACAAATGTCGCAGTGATGCATTCAACTGTATATGAAACACCAAAATCATCGATAACAAAATGAAATTGAGAATTCAGAAAATTTCAACGTTAAACCTTGGACACCTCACATCATTACATGCAGGGAACGCTGTTGAACGTGACACACTAGCAGTGTAGCTAGCATGTCACTAGCAGCAACTTAGTATATAGTATATGCTAAAATGGAGTGTCGAAACAAAAATGCATGAATATGATTACTGCTAATCCTTACACGCTCTAATTTCAATTAAATGAAAAGGAAATCGTGCATTTAATAGAAAGAAAATAAAAAATATTTGTGACCTTCAGAGCTGCAATTGCATCTCGAGTAGCAGCATTTGGTTTCTTCATCTTGATATATACACTAGCTGCAGGTCAACAATCAAATCAAATAAACATTTAAACTGCAAAATAAGAGAGATCCAAATATAACTGAAACTACTCTATAAGCATCGGTTAAAAAGAGTTTGAGATTCACCTCTAGTTTCATACACGATGGCTGATTTAGGGTTAAGCAGAATTGCCATAGTGAGATGCTCAACCGCTTCTTCAAGCTTATCTGAACAACAAAAGCCATGTTCATACTAACATATAAAGAGCATAATCATCTTACATATTACCTTCATATATTGCTTTCATAGCCTGAATCTCAGCCTCTTGAGAAGCATTCCTGTTTTCTTCAGTAACCTCAATGGAGGAATCTCCCATCTACAAAATTCATTTTCTGAAAATTCACCCCTCCTTGGATATGACAATCGAAATGTAAGTAAAAGAAGGTAAGTGTAAATTTCTTAAACCTTCTGTGGACGATCGTTGTCAGGCTCCACGACATAGCTCTCATCAAGTTCAATGTCAGACTCTACAATCTCTGGCTGTTCTTCTTCTTCTTCTTCTTCTTCTTCTTCTTCTTCTTCTTCTTCTTCTTCTTCTTCTACGTTGGATGATTCAGTCTTATCCTTTGCCTCATCGATATAGTTACAAGTATCAACCGCCCAAGAGTTTTGTGTTCCCTATGATAATATACAAACTAAAACTCACATTTTCCAGGACAAAAGAAGATACGGAATTACTGAAAAATTGCATTTTAACACTTCTAATCATAAACACTTAAGCTCTAAACTATAACCATATTAGTTTCTCGACTTCTCCGGATAATGGCATGTCATCATGTACAAAACAGTGCCATGGAGCTCCAAGTTTGTGTGTGCAAGGAAAATTGAACTCTTAACTTATTTTCGTTTATTTGTTGTAATTAGTATCTATATGCCAAATTCTGACTGAATTTAGTTTTCATATATGAATGATCATCCAAACTGGTCAAATATATATGAGATAAGTTGGATTTTAAAAGGCAGAAAAAGGATGTACCGCTTCAGTTTCCCACGCAGATTCTGGAATCTTCCCTCCAAGACTGAAAATAACAAAAGAAAACAGAAAACACAATTCATATCAAAAGCACAAAATCAACTCTATAAATTATGCATAATCTTACCTCCAAGATTGAAAAATAACAAAATAAAGAAAGAACACCAAAAGCACGACATCAACTCCAAAAACTATCTAAGTGCCCAGTTACACACACAATCTAAACCTACATCAATTTATCAACTCCAAAAACTATCTAAGTGCACAGTTACACACACAATCTAAATCTACATCAATTTATCCATACATCCATATATAGACTGTAGTATATGAGTTTATATGAAAATAAATATACATATATAATCAAAAATCATATCAAGAGCACAACATCAACTAGATAAACTCCCACAAATGCCAATTTCTTGAAGAAACTATAAAAGTGTAAGTGTGTGTGTGTGTGTGTGTGTGTGGTGACTAAAACTTACATCAATTGATACATATGCCTTTATTTGTACATGAACACTCACTCAAACTGACATTAATTTCACATTAAAAGCATAACTGAATTCTACTAGATCATACATCAATTAACATGAATGTATCGAAATTAATTAAATACGCAAGGATGCATAACCTTTCGATGTAATCACAGAAAAAGTCGATAAGAGGATCAGACAGGAGGGTCGGGTCGTTCACAAGCTTTGGAACTAGTCGCTGCAGTGCATCTATATCCTGATTATCCATTGCTGTCGCTTACGACTGGTTTACTACTGAATTCTAAGCTGAAACTGGGAATGGATCATGGAGTTTTGTTCTTAAGGTGGTTAGATGCTAAATTTTTGGTTATTAAAATCCCTGAAAAGACGGTAACAGAGTTTGGATACTCATTTCGCGCCTTGCGGTCTGGTTTAGATCACGTTTGGTGGTAAAGGATCCACATAATATAATTTATAAGTTTATCATTGATTTTATTAAATTCAATTTAATAAATTTTTTGATAAAAGTAAATGAAATATATCTAACTTCTAATAAAAGGGGAAATAAGGGTCTACTATTCATGCAATAGTAAATGAATCTAATTTTACTATACATGATGTCATTTTTTATTTTCCATTTTATTTATATCAAACAAATGTTCTTTCACATATCATCCCACTAGCATTAAAAAAATAATTATGTCAAGTAAATGTTCTTCTACAGATCATGTCACTAGCTTTAAAAAATAATAATAATTTTAGTAAATATAAATCGTCATGAGCCAAAAAAAAACAAAAAATCCTTCGCACATGAGCTTTAAAAAATAAAAAATAAACTCTCCGCACAGTGCGGAGAGATGGCAAACTATGTACGAAGTAAAAAAGGAAGAAAAAACTCTCCGCATGTGCGGAAAGTTGGCAAACTCTCCGTACAGTGCAAAGTAAAAAAAAAAACTCTCCGCACAGTGCGGAGAGATGGCAAACGTTATGGCAAAACTTTCCGAACAGTGTGGAGAGATAGCATTCTGTGTGAACACTGTCATCACAAAGTGCGGACTTTTCGTACAGTGCGGAGTAAAAAAAGCAAAAAAAACACTTCGTATAGTGCGGAGAGTTAGCAAATTTTCCGTACAGTGCAAAGTTAAAAAAAAAAAAAAAAACCTCTCCACACAGTAACTATCACATGCGTTGCACCAATTTTGCATTTATCGTATTTTTTATTAGTGTATGAATTTTAATTTTTTGAAAATTTTTTGAAACAATATCTAAAAATATTTCCATCATATAAGAAAATAATTGTAAATTATTTTTACAATTGCATAAAAGTATTGTATCATATAGAAAAAATATACTTGTATATTTCATACTTGAATAAGAAATATACGAGATTATATAAATTATTTTGCTTGTATTCTTTGATAGTGTTGATGTAATTGAGTTGAATGTGAAAATTATATTTCTAAATTTTGTATAATTCAATATTGAAAAATTGAAAATTGAGCACCATATTCATATGTATTTATATTTTGTGCTATATATTTAATATTTATTTTATACTTATGTTGAAAAAATAAAAATCTGAATTTTTTTTAAAATTTGGTTTGGTAAGTGAATGTACGACGTTCTGCATTCTCGGTATTTGTAAGTGCAAAAATCGATATATAAAAATACGGTAAGTTGCAAATACGGTAGACAGTATATACGGTAAGTTGCAAATACGGTAAACTGCAAATACCGTAAGTTGCAAGTACGGTAAAAAGCATATACGGTAAGGTACAAATATGGTAAGTTGTTTGTAAATACGATAGGCTGTATATACGGTAAGGTGCAAATACGGTAAGTTATTTGCAAATACGATAGACTGCAAATACGGTAGGCAACATAAATGGTAAGCCGTATATACAGTAAGCTTCCTTCAAATACGGTAAGCTGCATATATGAATTTATAATTTGTTATAAATGTATAAAATTTATTTTGAATTTCAAATCACTTTTTGTCGCATCCATTCACATTTTAAGTAGTTAGAATAAAAACCACTTTTAATCATAATATTGAATTTCTTAAGTATTAAATGTTGAATTCAATATTGTTTCCTTTTTTATAAATGTATTTTCGAGAATTAAAAAAAAAAGCGGTTATGAAATTGCTAATTTTTAAACGTGTTTTTTTGTTGAAAATAAAAATGATTTTTTTAAGTTATCTGTAAAAAAAAAATTTATTTTTATTTTATTAGAGTAATAAGAAGATTTATTATGTATTTTTATTTTTTGTATTTTGTAAAGAATTTTGTTATGGTGATTGACAAATATTCTTCCACACACACATCATGCCAACAATATTAAAAAAAATAATAATTTTAGTATATATAAACTCTATGAGACAAAAAAAATTCGCACATGAGAAAAAAAGACTTCGCAAAGTGCGAAGAGATAACAAACTATCTCTCCGCACAGTGTGAAAAGAAAAAAAAACTCTCGGGATTTTATTTGCAAGTTCCAAAAGGCATTTTCTCAAATAACTTTTGAGCAATGCATTGAACACTTTAATTCTTGACATACAACCCGAAAGTATAATTTCATTGAAAATTGTATTCGCTTCTAATGTCTAAGAGCTGTTATCAAGCAAGTGCAAAATATTGAATTTGGGTGGTACCCTAGAGCCTCCATTTGTGAAAGCAATGCCATGGTACTATCAATATCCCCTTCTTTGCACAACTCACGTATTGTTTCATTGTATGAATCACGAGAAAACTCATTTCCAATACCGTAAATATGATTTTCATGCTCAGAAATTGAGTTGTGACTAGAATTTAAAGAAGACATAATTGATTTTGAGCCATATTTTTTTACTCTCTTTTGTTATATATATGAAAAAATTACAATCTTGAAATTTGACTTATAATTAAGGAATTTGAAAACAACTCTCCATATTATGTGGAGAGTTTTTTTCTATGTACTGTGCGGAGAGCTGGTTTGTCATCTCTCTGCACTGCGTGGAGAGTTTTTTTTTTTACTCCGCACTGTGTGAAGAGTTTGTCAGATCTCCACACATGGTTCAATTCTCTCCGCACTGTACGGAGAGATTTTTTTTCTCTTTGCACTTTTTTTTTACTCCGCATATGGTTCAATTCTCTCCGCATTGTGCGGAAATTTTGCTATGGTGAGACCAACTCTCCGCACTGTGCGAAGAGACTAACTCTCTCTGCACAGTGTGAAGAGTTTTTTTTTTGCTCTCCGTACTGTGAGGAGAGGTTTTTTTTTTTTTTTTTTAACTCTGCACTGTGTGGAGAGTTGGCACTCTGCATTGTGCGAAGAGTTTGCCAACTTTCTGCACATGGTTCAACTTTCTCTACACTGTGCAGAGAGGTTTTTTTCTCTCCATACCTTTTTTCATTTTTTATTTTTACTTTGCACTTGGTTCAATTATTTTCGCACTGTACGGAGAGTTTTTTTTTCAATTTTACAATATTGAATTACACAAAATTTAGAAATATAATCTTAATATTCAATTCAATCGTATCAACACTATTAAATAATACAAACAAACTAGTTTGTATATTTCTTATTCAAGTATGAAATATACAAGCATATTTTTTTCTAAATAACATATTGCTATGCAATTGTAAAAATAATTTACAATTATTTTCATATATCATGAAAATATTTTTAGATGCTGTTCAAAAACTTTCTAGAAAAACTAAAATTCATATACTAATAAAAATACAATAAATACAAAATTCGTGTAACGCACGTGATAACGACTAGTAGTTTAAAAGTTCACAAAGTTGTGGATCCTAAAAATGTATAGTTAAAATAGGAATCAAACAGGAATTAATACACTTAGTCGATTCTAGTATTCGACCAAGCGAAGATTATTTCATCAATATCTTTAGGTTAAAAGGTTAAAGCACGTGTAAATATATTATGTTTTGTATAAATAGCAACATGGGATTTGAGAACGAGAAAAAAATTCTCAAACGTAAATATATTCTCAAAATATGAATTTATTGTTTCTTTTTATTCTAAGTCTAATTGAGCCATTATTTGAGCCACATTATTTTTCATAGCATGCATTTTTGAATAGTATATTGATGAAAAATGTATAGTTAAAAAATAAAGAAAAATTTTGAATTTGCGTGTAATATTATTTTATTGAATAATGTGGATTGAAATAATGTCAAATCACTCTTTACGAAGATATTTTTTTTTTTTTAAATAATGTGGCTCAAACATGGAATCTCATCTCAAATTTTCGTGTATTTTGCTTAAATGTTTTGGTTTAATTTTTGTATTGCGACTTGAAATTATTTATTGTTACTATTGTCAGAGTGTTTCCCTAGGCGCAATATCACTACTCGTCAGTACATGAAATTTAATTTTTAGTCGCTTATATATAGACATAGCTATCAAATTTATAAATCATTCATAAATTTGTCAAACTTTATTTTCATTCATACATTCTAATTAACTCAGAAGTATTGTCCACTTAAACGTTATCCATTTCTATATATTTATAAATTAAACCGTTTATAAATTCTTCCAAACAATGTCTTAGCCCTTGTTTGGTTTAATTAAAAATAAAAATTGTTAGTTCTATGAAATGTGAGATTAAAAATGAGCTTTAGAAAATGGTGACCAAACAATAGGATGTTGTGTAGTGAAATACATATGTGATCAAAGTGAGCTTTCGTCCATCCAACCCTTCGTGTGCTAATAAATAAAGAGGTTTTGCTTTGATCTTAGCCTACTAAAATTATTTTTGACATTTTTTTTTTGGTTCGCAAGGCTGCTTCTTCTTCTTCTTTTTTTAATGAGAATATTTACTTATTTAATAATGTAGTTGTGCTTGACCGAGTCAGAATCTCACCAACCAAATTAAAAAAAAAAAAAAAAGAATTCCCCATTTTTCTTTTTGTCATTAACCCACATTACATAAGCATAACCGTTTAAGTGGTGAAGATGTTTTGACAATTTTGATTCAATTTATCGCCACCTCATCAATCTGGAAAAGAATATGTAAATGGAAAAAAGCAAAATAACTACTTTACTTATTTAAGAGTGAAGTAAAACGTGTGATCAAAGTGAGCTTTCGTCCATCCAACCCTTCGTGTGCTAATAAATAAAGAGGTTTTGCTTTGATCTTAGCCTACTAAAATTATTTTTGACATTTTTTTTTTGGTTCGCAAGGCTGCTTCTTCTTCTTCTTTTTTTAATGAGAATATTTACTTATTTAATAATGTAGTTGTGCTTGACCGAGTCAGAATCTCACCAACCAAATTAAAAAAAAAAAAAAAGAATTCCCCATTTTTCTTTTTGTCATTAACCCACATTACATAAGCATAACCGTTTAAGTGGTGAAGATGTTTTGACAATTTTGATTCAATTTATCGCCACCTCATCAATCTGGAAAAGAATATGTAAATGGAAAAAAGCAAAATAACTACTTTACTTATTTAAGAGTGAAGTAAAACGTCTTTTTTTTTTTGAAGTATCAATTTTACTTAAAAAATCACTATATCATTTTTCCTGCTAACTCAAAAAGAATAATACACCTCCAGATCAAACTATATAATTTTTTCCCTTCAAAATCTTCTAATTTTAAAAATTTAATCAAATGTCGGAAAATTGAATTAGAGTCAAGATAATGAATACAGAATTAGATGGACCTAGAATTATTCTTTAGTGGGGGCGAGACGAAAAATTGACTAAAATAAATTGTGAAAAAAAACCAAAAAAATCTAAAAATTTAAATTTAACAAGGTCGAATTGAAGGTTTTCGAAAATTCAGTGGGGGCGGTTGATCCCACTCGTCCCTACGCTAATATACACATAATGACATGGTTTCATGGTGGCAATGGCTGAATGTGATGCCAAACAATTGGCTGAATTTTCATTATCATCAGCAGGTTTAGTGCTGATGATAATTTTATCTTCAATTTTAGTGATTGAATATATTTATGAGTATAGGTTAATAAGGCATTTCTAATTTTTAATATCTTTTTAATTACTCTATACCTATAAATAAAATAATGCATTCCTTGAAAACTTATAGAAACTTTATATATACTTTTTAGTTTTCAACGAAATATAATTCTAAAAATTAAAAATACTTCGATTATCGATTATATTAGCTTATGACCTAAAATGGAGTTGTTGTGCCTCTTTTTTTTTTTTTTTTTGAAAAATTCTGTAAATATTTTTCTGTATTTGTAACAAAACTCCCTAAAATATGTGTATATAAAATTATATATTCTGTAACCGGGTTAGTTGGACAATGGATTCGGACAGCAAAACAATAACTACTTCAGGGGCCTAATAGAACCCGTGGACTTTATTTATTAGCCCTCTTTATTACACGTGTCAACATCAAGTTGTTCTGGTAAATTGTCCATTTTTGGTTTTCCCGTAATTAATAGAAAATGAAGGGGTTTTGTATCAATTCCAAAAAGTGCGAATGAGAGAACCAGCAGGTGGGGCCCTAATAGCAAAAGTTTGTAGTCCAAGCAAATAACAAATTACCGTAAGAGTACAAATTTCTCAACTGCTTTATTTATTTTTAATTTATTTTCCCATTCTCGTATAATTCCTTTGGATCGAACATCTTGATAAATAGTAAAACTTCAAGAATTAGAAAGAAGTGCAATTCCGTTCCACCCAAAATGTTCAGAAAATTCGCTACAAATTACGAAATATTCATATATTAAACGACTGTAAAAATTTTGACACAACGCTTATTTAAAAAGTTACATTTGTCATGGAGCTCGAGAGAAGCACGGGAAGCTCCATTTGTAGATGCAAAATCACTTTTCTTTTCTTTTACTAATTGCACTAAAAGGGATAATGAAGAAATTATACATTTCTATTTCATTATTTAAGTGGCTAGTAATCATCGAATTTTTTAATTTTTATTTTTCAAGCATGAAACTTCCCGATTTTGTGGTTCCGTTGACTCAAATTTATATTGTCACACTATTTTTTTATATTATTAAAGAACAATTAAATTTTTTTAAATTTTATTTTAAAAGAAAAAAAACATGACTTGTTTTTAGGTAATCTTGAAATGATTCCACCAACTAATAAACTACATATATAAAATTATGAGTTGTAAGCTAAGCAAACACTCACTCTTTCATTAAACTTATATTATCGCTAAGGTCCTGTTTTGTACCAATTTTTTTCAAAATGCATTTTTCTTTCTTCTTTTTAACTATCCATTCTTTATTAAAATAATATTAAACGTAAATAAAAAATTTTTCCTTATTTTTCAACCACACATTTTCCATCAATTTACTATTCAAAAATGAATTTTTACATAAAAATGTCTCACAAACACTCTCTAATTGTGATTTGCTTAATCTTAAGCAATTGCCAAATAAATTAACAAAAGACAACATTTGGGTTCCGTTTGGAAGGGATTTTGAAAATTGATTTTTTGACCGTTAGAAGAAAAATGGGGTCCACTTGTAAAAGAAAAAGTCAAAAATTACGACTGAAATAATAAAATAACGGTCAAAAACTTGATTTTTTGGAGGTAAAATATCCTCCCAAACAGGCTGTTGATTTTTCAGAGTGGCAAAAGATTGTTTTTTTAAACCTCAAAGAATGCTAAAGTCTGCAGTGAAAGGCCAAATAATACATACATATACATATAGAAGGTGGGTTGGCGTGGGGTTTGAGTGGGCGGCCTGCCTTTCCCAAATTCGACCTTTAAACGTACAATACCGTCTTTCCTCTTCACTATGACATTTTTTCTTTCATATAGACACTCCTTTTCTTTATCTATATATCTACATTCAAACTGTTGCGATTGATCAAGTGTTTCATTTAATCTCAAAGCCAAGATTGTGATAATTAACATCCCATTTTCTAAAAATTCATGATCTGTGAGTACAATTTGTCTTCTTTGATACTTTTTGTGAACGCTTGCATTTTTCTCTCTCACACACAGTCGCACGGGTATAGCAGTTTTAGGGTTACTGTTTTTATTGGAATTATATCTGGACTAGCGTAAATTTTGCGGTATATTCGATTTTCATTTATTGGTAGACTAATCTTTGTTGTTTCCATGGATTGTGATATTACTTTTGAGTTATTTTTCTATTAATTAACTTGTGATTAATAGTATTATACATGGGTAAAAATGCTACCTTCTGGCAGTTGATTTTCTTCGACATCAATTTTCTGTTTTTACTGTCCATTTTTAGAAATATTTTAATGTGGATAAAAGCCGACACTTTATTGTATTTATTGTAGTTAGTTTATTGAAAAATTTCGCAGCTATATCATTTGAGGTTGAAAAGTTGCAGTAGATGTACTTGCTTTAATGTTAACCTTTAAGCATAATGAAGAAATATCAGTTATGTGTTCTGTAGGTGAATTAAATTATGACGAGAATTGGTCGGGATTTTAGTTATACAATGCAAAAAGATGCGGTTTCACCAGTATCGGCTGATGTGGTATTTGCCTCTAGTCGGTTTCCAAATTACAAAATTGTAGCTAACAATCAGATTGTGGAGGTCAAGGAGGATTCAAAAATATCTTCTATGAAAGAGGTGGTTGCGCGGGAGACTGCCCTGTTGCTGGAGCAGCAAAAACGTCTTTCTGTTCGTGATCTTGCCAGCAAATTTGAGAAAGGGTTGGCTGCCGCTGCTAAGTTGTCTGATGAGGTTTGGCCTTGTTTAATCTCATTTTTCACTTTTCATCTAGTCTTGTTATTATCCTTGTGACAAATTCTACGTGGAACTTTCCACTCGAGACATTTCTTTCCTTTTTTCCGGTCTCAAACATCAGAAAATAACGTATCTTTATTGAGTAAGATTAGCGCCATTGATGATTCTGAATGTCATTTATTTACGGGCAACAGGCAAGACTCAAAGAAGCTGCTTCATTGGAGAAACACGTGCTTCTGAAGAAGCTCAGAGATGCTCTTGAAGCGTTAAAAGGACGTGTAGCTGGTAAAAACAAAGATGATGTAGAGGAAGCTATCGCTATGGTTAGTTTGTGGTTTTGTTTTCTTATGTGAACTTTGATTGCTATACTAATTTACCTTTTCTACCTTTGTTCTTTTCAATATTGTCATACCAAATTAATGCAATGCTTGACCATCAAATTGACATGAGATGCAAATTATGAGGATGAACTATGGTCTAATCAAATTCCTCAACTATGAGCATTGAAGTCAGACTTACCTGGACTTTGAACACACTAATCAAGAAATGTGATGTCAAGGGGTAGAATTCTTTGGATTTGCTTTATTGAAACTAAGTAAACTGGTTTGAGACAGATACAATTATTTTTTCTACCCTAGAATGTAGAGAAGATACACTAAGGATGAATACTCTTGGGTTTCATTGTCTTACACATCTTTTTTTGAAAAACTAGTGAGATATGCTATTGGTGATTATATAGATGTTACCTTCCGCCATCTTTAGTTCTTTTTTCATTTTACTTAAGTAACAGTTACTATAATGAATCTCTAGGCGTCAATTTACTGTTATATGTTTCCCGTGAATTTTTCCACTTATCCCACTTGCCAGTATTTTCTTGTTTTCAGGTTGAAGCTTTAGCAGTTCAGTTGACTCAGAGGGAAGGAGAGCTTATTCAAGAAAAGGATGAAGTGAAAAAGCTTGCTACTTTTCTGAAGCAGGTAAAATACGGACATGTTATATGATGTGTGTCTTTCCCTTCTTTTAAGTTTTCTTGGTAGCCAAGTGTAATTTGAAATAAATTTTTATGTGCATGATCCAACACGTCCAATCTTCTTTGTGTCTATTCATCACACTATTAGTATACGGATTCAAGGACGTGTGACATGGTTCTAAGCTAGGTGAAAGGTGAAATGTGGATTGCATGTTTCAGATTGGACTAAGCTATGATGACACAGAAATAGACGTTTTATGATGTGATGAATTTCACATTTAATTACTATATACTGCAATCTTTATTTTTCCATTTTTTATTCAGAACATAATGACGCATGAATTTAATTCATGTTCACAGTTTTGGTTTTCATTTTGGGATACTTAAATATTTCTTGCTTTTAATAAAAACAGTTACGTATAGGGCCTAATGTTGTGAGAAAACATGTATAAGAAGGCTTATGGTACAGCTTGAATAAAGTCTTCTGAATCATTTTTATCTTTTAGGTTTAATAGGGGAATACACGTCCAACTTATTAATTTGCGAATATGTGATTCTATATGCACATGTATTGTCACATGCTGCCACACGTACATATTCAAGAATCATTTTGCATACACTTTTCCTTTCTTTCTTGTCTTTTGATAACTGTACGGTTTTGCAGGCTTCAGAAGATGCTAAAAAACTTGTTGATGAAGAAAGGGCTTTTGCACGGGCTGAAATTGAGAATGCTAGAGCTGCAGTTCAGAGAGTGGAAGAGGCTCTTCAGGAACATGAAAGAATGTCACGAGCTTTAGGGAAACAGGTTCGCTTAAATTCCTTTGTTTGTATTCATGTTCAAGAATATTTTAATATGGTCATGTTGCTTCTGTTACCCATCTGGTTTTTCGTAACAGTGTCATACGCTCTGTGGGCATCCAAGTCAAAGAAGTTAATAGCAAAATTCTTGTATCGGCCCATAGATCTCTGGGTGCATATTAATTCTGAACTTTAAAATTGTATTTGAGATAATTATGTATTTTTAAAATTATTGCATAATTTTTCTGCAGCCCATTGATCTCTAAGCGCATACTAACTTTGAATATGTATTTGATGTATTTACATTTTTTTGTCAATTTATTGCTTATAAAATAACAAGAACATATGATCTGATACATGTTTACGCTTGGAAGATGCCTTATCATGTTAACAATCACATTGCGCTAATGTAATTTTTTTGTTTTGATGATTAGGATCTTGAAGAATTAATGAAAGATGTGCATGAGGCTAGACGGATCAGAATGCTGCATCGACCTAGTAAGGTATTTATATCTGTATCTTGAAATGCTACAATATTCTTGTTTGGGCTTATTCGCTGCAGACAGATATGCGCACGATTGATTCTCTTAAATGACCTCTTGCAAATTTCTGATGGCTTGTGCTTACTCTCCCTACTTCAATAGAATTATATTATCATCTAAAAGATGTCTTATATTTTTCCAGTAACATGAATCCCAAAGTATTTTAGCTTTATTTACCTAATCCGTTGTCTTTCAGGCATTCGTTTTATTATTAGTATTTCTTCCAGTTATATCCCATAAAACCAATCTTCCCTCTTACACATACTGGAGAATATGATGAAAGAAATGCTTATATTTGCAGGTCATGGACATGGAACACGAGCTTCAAGCATTAAGGATTCAACTTGCCGAGAAGTCTAAGCATTACCTAAAGCTTCAGAAAGAGGTTTCTATCTTATTTTAAATTTTTAACATCTATTTAATATTTCACATTTTGTTTCTCAATGATTTGTTGTGGCCTGTCTCCCTTGTTGATTTTATGAATGGTCTTTTATGACTAATTTGCGTCACAATCACATATTAGTTAAATTTTGAGAGGCAGAAAGAAATTTGAGTCATATCTTTTGTCATAGGTGTTATGACGTGTTATTCTTATGCACGTGTTTACTATTTTGTCATATATTTATTGTTCCTTGCTATGCAATATTGACTCATGAAGTAATGATGTCCATCTAAGAACTGTGTCTAGATTTTATATAGTACATAATAAGAAAGTTATAGATTAGCATGAAATTGAAATTGCTGCAATTGTGGTATGCAAAACCATGATATGATCTACATTAAAGCTGTAACTGCAGAAGGTTTGTTGCTGCATCATTGTAAGTTGAGCTGGAATATAGGATTTGAAAGAACTGAAAAAGCAATACCCTTGTTGTTAAAAGATTTGAAACCAGAAAGTCGATATAGCAAGCGACTACTTGACTGCACAAAAAAAGTGATTGTTATGTTAATAATAATAGAAGTACTTTGTTTTTTATTTTCTATTATTCTAGATCCTGGAATGTTCATTGTATTGTTCATTTCAATTTTTTTGCCAAAAACAAATTCTTCTAAATAGTAGGTTCAATAAGGAACAGAAAACTGTAGGGTATAAAGGAATGTGAGACCAAAAAGAAAAAGAAAAAAAGGACTAAGCGATGCATGAGATAAATTAAAACTATGAAGATTTTGCCACAATATCTATTTTCTGAGATATTTTCCAACTAAACATATGCTTGGGAGAGTTTTTTTCAAGTGAAAAATGATGATTTTTTATTTTTTGGAGGAAGTATAGTTAAAAAGTAGGAAAAAGTCACGAGTCCCATAGAATGTGTGGTTGAAAATGATTTTGGGGAAAATCTCTCCCAAACAAACCACTAGTGTATTTTGGCATCTGACATTATCATTATGAGGGATGAATGAAATAATATGCGGTGTGAAGGAAATCGAATTTTTCTTTTTTACACCTTAAGAAAGTCAATAAATTATGTGCATGTTTGGCTAAGTTCAAAAAAAGGTAAAAGTTACTTTCAAGTAAACTTTTAATTCCAAATATGCTCAGATAGGTTATTCTTTTTCTTATTTTTAAATAAAAAGAGTTATTATGAAAGTAACTCTTACCTTGATGTTGAAATATGTTTCTTATTACCAACTTTGAACAATTAGAAGAATATTTATTTTAAACTTACTTATTTTCTTAATATGTGAACTTTGTGATCTTAAGCCAAACATGCTCTACTTGTGAGGTGAGATAGACCTGCAAAAGCCCTTGGCTGGGATAAGATGTTCCCTGAAGAACAGAATATTTGAGTTATGTTGATTACTTGAATTAGTCGAATTTTTTGCTATTTACTGATTCATTGTCTGCATAGTATTAGTAGGTGTATAACTTATTTCTTCTCAAAAATTTTAATTGAGTATTATTATCTAAAAATACTCGGTAGGATCGATTTTGTGCAGTGAATTTGAATATACATCAGTTCGAATCTCTAACACGTTCATTCTCAAAAAACATTTTCAGCTGGCAATGAGCAAGAAGGGCGAGGAAAATATGCCCTACTTATATGAAATAGATGGTAACGAGGCATTGGGTTCATATTTGGTGATATATCGTTGTTCTGATGGAGCTCCAGAAATTTCAGAATGTGTTATTCAATGGTACCGTTCAACCTCTGAAGCTGGCAAAAAGGAGCTTATATCAGGTAAAATATGTTATCATTTTTGCTGTTTCTGTTGTAATTGCCTTTTATTTTGTTGTCCGTTCCTTCATGAACATTCGTGTTTCAGTAGCTATGAACATTATTTTGTAGTAGTAACATTTTTGTTTTAACACTAAATGCTTTTTACTGTGGCAGGGGCCACAAAATCTGTTTATGCTCCAGAGCCTTTCGATGTTGGCCGATTTCTAGAAGCTGTTATTATGACGGATGGTCAAACAATAACAGTGAGAACCACTGCTCCAATTGATCCAGGTCGACTGACTTAAATTTCCTTAAAATTACAAAATTATTGCTTGCACACACTACTGATTCCATTTTCCGAACAGCGGCTGGATTAGGGAACTATGTAGAAGCATTGGTGCGAAGGCATGACACTGAATTCAATGTAAATATTCTTTTGTACCGAAAATATCTTGTCTGTGGACATATGTTCATATATGGCATGTTTGGTGCGGTAGATGGATTGTACTAGACATATGAAGCCCTTGTTTGGTCTCCATTATTTTCAAAATACACTTTTTCTATTTTATTTTCAATCACACATTATTTAATAAAATAATATTACATGCAAACCTAAAACTTTTACTTATTTTTTAACCACATATTCTTCATCAAAATATTATTCCAAAATGCATTTTTGGCGAAAAATGGGGCTCAAACAGGCTCTAAAAAAGAATAGTAAATCTTATCCATTCAGGGATCCCATCAATTCCGAAAATGTAACAAACATGTCTGTATTGTACCATGAAGTAATTAGCTATTCAAGATATAATAATGACATTGAAATCCTATGTTGCCGCAAATAATTAGTTACCTTTTATTCTCTACATTAGATATACATCCTGTTTTATGCATGGGTGCACGATAACTGATTTCGTCTTTTTCCTTGTTTTTATATGGAATTATAAATGCTTTTCAGGTAGTTATTATCCAGATTAACGGGGTAGATAATCAGTCGCAGTCTATCCATGTACTGCATGTCGGGAAGATGCGAATGAAACTTTGCAAAGGAAAGACAACAGTGGCAAAAGAATACTATTCCAATTCAATGCAGGTATCAAATTCTTCTCAATAAACTTTATAGTGTACTATATGGGGCCTTGCTGACTCTGTTTAGGGTCATTTCAAATGTTAAGCCACAGAGATTCATACCCTTTCTTCCTTATTTTTATTTCGAAGTTGGTCATGATGTTTCTCTTTATTTACTGTCACTACTAAATTTTGTTGGAAATTAATATCAAGTTGTGAAAGTGAATCTTGAAGAAGATTCATGAACATGTATACATGCTACATAAAAATACAGGATTCATATGGAATTCTCACACAAAAAGTATAAATAGGAGTCTTAGTTTTATATCCAGAAGACGAGAAATGTTTTATGAAGGAGTGAATCGAATTGTAAGAGAAATATAACAAGAAGTTGAGAATTTTTTTCTTACTTATGCTTGAAATGTTGTTTATGCTGAAGGTGCTGCATTCAGCATTCTTATAGTCTGGACATTTGTTCCTCGTTCGGCTTCCCTTTTTACCTTTAAACAAGACTAGAGCAACCAATTATAATATTGTTTTTCCACCCTCAGCTTTGTGGAGTTCGAGGTGGTGGGAACGCGGCAGCTCAGGCAGTATATTGGCAAGCAAAAGTCGGGCATTCCTTCGTCTTAGCATTTGAATCAGAGAGAGAAAGAAATGCAGCTATTATGCTGGCAAGAAGATTTGCATTCGACTGTAATGTAAGTGTCGCAATCTTTGTTGCTTTTGTTCTTCGCTTATAATCTGTGTTCCAGTAATGAAAAATAAATGGAAACTAAAATAATCACTAATTTTTCCAGATTATGCTTGCCGGGCCAGACGATAGAGCTGCAACAGGAACTTAATACACCAACCTAATTTTACCCCAAAAAAATGTAATTATATCGATGTCGTTGTGTATGTGGTTTCTGTTGGTTTTTAGTCGGCAGTATGTGTCAAATTTGCTTGATTGTTCCATCGACTCACTTATTTTCTTCCCTTTAGCGTCATTTACTAGGCATTTTTTCAGTGGCCTTGATCTGATTTCCTTTTTTTTTTTTTCCCACCTGATTGTAATGCTAATCTTGGAAGAGATGATCTTGAATTTGTGTAATGTTGCAGACCAGATAGTAGAAAAGGAAGTTTGCGCTTTGCTCGAATCTTTCTCAAACGCCTGGAAATAGTTTAGGCATTGGATGTTTATGTGCTTTGAATTGTAGTAGCATGTTTGGTATACTGGACCGACGAGCTTGGAAATGATTGAGAAAAAGTATAATAGAATAATTATCTACTCCAATCTTGTCGAATGCTTACTTCAAGGGCTTCGAAGTAAAAACTCTAAAGTTTGAAAGTGAAGCTAGAAGTACATAGTTAGATGTGTATTTTACTTTTATTACATATTTGGTACGTCGAATTTTGCAATTATTATGTAGATAACTTATTGTAGAAGTGTAGTAGGCATGCATGAGTATAAAGTTGATATCATTGACACTAGAATCAATTGTGTAAATGATTGATGTTCCCAAAAAGGGGGCTTAGCATTAGGGTTTGACAAATTTTTTACTTTTTGTTGTAGTATTATTTTTTGGGGAAATTATCTAAACTCGGTTTTTTTAAGCCCATAAAATACTTCTAGAAAGTTAATTCAAATATATTCGGAAGTAGTTTTTTTTTTTTTTTAGAAGTAACTTTTATCTTTCTAAAATTGCAACTCTTAATAGGATAAAACCTCCTGTCCCGACTTGGGGACATGGTTGAAAAGAGGGGTGCCATGTAGGGTTGTGGCGCCCCCCTATTGGAGGGGTGCTTGTCAGGGACAGGCGCCCCTCCAATAGACATGGCGCCCCCTGTTTTTAATCTTGTCCTCAAGCCGGGACAGGGAGCATCTCTCCTCTTAATATGCCAATGTTTGAGCCCCATTATTTGGAGAAGGTGAATTTTACAATAGTGATGTGTAATTAAAAAAAAAAGTAGGTAAATTTTTCAGGTTTAGATGTAAAATTATTTTATAAAAAAATGTGTAATTAAAAATAAATTTTGAGAGCCATGAAGCTCAAACATATATATAAATAGTACAGGATTGCCTCCCGAGGTACATCCGAGTTGGTGGAACAATTGCATTGGTGGGTTCACAAACCTAGCGTGGAGAGTTCGATTCTTGAAAGGCAACATCTTGGAAAGGGGATTTATCTCGAAGGCAAGGTGCTGGAAGGCAGTGATGAGAGCTCTTTTAGGGGAAGGAGTATAAGCCATGCAGGAACCTGAGAGTCAATAAGGGCACAACCCGCGATTAACTTCCTCAAGCTAATGAGGGGTCGGAGGCTTGAAGTTCAGGATTTAGTCTGGTGAAGTTGGGAGACCTGAGTATCAAAAAAAATAAAAAATAAAAAAAATAAAAATAAAAATAGTACAAGATTAGGGTTGTTGTACACCATGCGGCACGCATGTCCCAAATAAGACATCGAACAAAACAGTGGCTTATATAAGTCAAATCAACTTTATAGAAGCAAAGATTGACAAGTTAATAACGTGGGGTTTTATATATTATGATGGTAATTATGAAGCGAGTCCAAGACTTTTCTAAAGTTCTTTAAAATGACCCATACACATTCTGATTTTTTGGTGCGTATTCCTTTAAATTGAAGACTTCTTGAAGAAAAAAACAGGGAAAAGAGTATTTTTCTTTCAAGAAATTATTTTTATTCCATGATATATATATAGACGTCTTTAAGACGTAATTTTAAGTTGTACTTTATTGAATATTTCATTCTATCAGGGTCAAGAAAGGAGGTTGAAATCAAGAATTCTATTTTTGCTTTTGGTGAATAGTACGGATTTCGTGCATGGTTGAATTCAGAGAACGAACAATTAATTCAATTATGTTACTCGTACATTTTATTTGACACCAAATTTGACATTGTGTCATATATCTTAGCATTTTTTAAAAACTACACACTTTTCCGTCAACAACGTTTTGAATTTTCAAAGCATGTCAAACTTCATGTACCATTGTACAAGAAGCTCTATTCTAAGAAATTTTACACGTAACTTATTTTTGAAATCGAGACTATATATAATATAAAATTAGGATATTTTAAATAACAGTTAAGCTACTCAAACATGGATAGTTGATAAAATTTAAAAATAGGTACTACGTGTTAGAACCTGCTTGGTTCTTTTTTTTCTTTTTCTTTTTTGATCTGTCCAATGAATATTTGACACGTGTCTCCCATTTTTAAATTAGGTCAAATACGCTGTTTGATCCTCTCAATAATGAATTCAACTACATGATGTCAGATATTATATCTAAATTAACAAACCATACTTGTCTTTAAAAATTACTTTTATGTTTTTGCTTATACAATGAGTTCCTCATTGGGCTCCATTTTATTGAGAATTTGAAGAAAAATATATTTTAGAATAGTGATTTTTTAAAGAATTTGTGGTTCAAAAATTAGAATATTTTTTTTCTTTTTTTGAATTTACTTGTAATATTATTTTATGGAAAAATGTGTGATTGAAAATGAGTTTGAAAAAAAAAATGTATTTTGAAAAAAATGAATCCCAAACAATCAGGGACTAAAATTTTTGGCAATTTGACCTAATCTTTATCTCTAATAGGAAAAGGATAGTTATGCTAATTAATATTTTTGGAGTTCAATTGCTAAATTTCAACAAAATAGAAATAGTAGGTGATAAAGTTATTTGACTTTTGAGAAGTAGAATTTGATTTAGATATGGAAACGAGATGGGGGCGGCCTTCTTCATCTCCTACCTCGTAATTCATCTTTCGTCCGTTTATCTATTTATTAATTTTTGTATTTGTATAACTACATATATTTCTTATGATTTAATCCTTGTTTGACATCCATTTTATAATTTTTTAAAATTATTTTCAATTATATTCTCTCAATTAAATAATTTTATACATGATTATAAATTTTCCATTTTTCAATTATATATATTTTCAAAAAAAAAAATCACTTTTCACAAAATATATTCTCAAAAAATCTATCAAATAGACACTTAGTCGAACAACAATATTAAGTAGGTTTAAATAAAAATCAAAGTTTTAGTAAAATTTTCATAAAAGTTGATGAAAATTATGGATCTCATGAGATGTATGATTGAAATTAAATATTAATTTATATTTTAATCTAACTTTTTTACTGTATCAAGAGTGTAAAGATCATAAATATCAAGGTTTTTAAAGTTCGAAATAAAAATTAGATTTTTAGTAGATTTTTTAATAAAAAATTTAAGAAAATTATGATCGAAAGGTCATGAATCCCATAAAATATGTGGTTAAATTTTTTTATTAATTATTAATTTATATTTTAATCAAACTTTTTAATTGAATCATGACTAAAGTTGTATAAAGATCATAATAAATCAATGTTTTAAAAGTTTGGAAATGTCAAATACCCTTTCAGGAAAAGAATGATTATTTTCCATTTTTTAGATTGACGGATGGAATGAGTTTTCTTCCACGCAACAAAAGTTAAAAATGTAGTAGCTTCAATTTGAAGATGAATAATACATTAAATTCAATAATTAAGTATTTTCTAGCAAAGGGTTGATGTGTCATTCACTAAGGACTACCTCAATTATAGATCATTCTAATAGGGATTTTGACTTGACTATAAATTGCTTAAAATTCCATTATTACATCAACAATATCTAGGAAATTAAATTGAAGTTGATCATGTATTGTTCAAAATTGTAGTGAAAACGAGAAATATTAGCGTAAAAAGCTACGTGATAAGAAGTGGATCGAATTATTCAAAATTTAGTAAGTTTATAAGTGAAAAATCGAGTTAAGAAGTTTTTTTCGATTTGAATTTCTCCGTTAGTTGCGGAAGCGGATGCTCTAGTTTTAAAAGGTTGAGGACATGGATGACATATTTAGCCCTATTTGATTTCATTCTTTTAAAACTTTTTTTTTATATACATAATTATTTTCAATCACACATTTACACGATAAAATATTCTTCGCATAATCTCGATGCTTTTTTCATACTTTTTAATCACACATTCTTTTAAAACACCATCCAAAACTCCTTTTTTCTTTTCTTTTTAAAGAATGGTCACCAAATAGACGCTTAAGAAAGTTTGAGCATAGACGGTGAAATTTATACTTCCCTTGTCTGGAGGATATTAAAAATAAATTTTTATCAGATTTTGATAAAAGCTGATGAAATGTGTAGATGAAAAGTTGATAGATCTATAAAATATGTTGTTAAAATTAATTATTGATTTTGATTTTGACAAAAATTTAGATTTTAATTTCCATAATTGCGTAGGAAGGGATATTTTCTGTCATTGTCCTTGGACTAGTCTGCCTTCTTGAAAAAAAAAATAAAAAATGGATTTCTCCAAGCAGATTGCAGTCAAACAATGCCATCATAATTTTTTTATTCAGAAGCAGATTGGGACCATAAAAATGTCAAACAATTATATGAAATGAGGGCGGTTCTCTGTCATTATTTTCAATGAAGATTTTCTTAATCCTTGACTGAAGACCCTAAAATGGATGATTGCATCTCTTTTATCCACTCTTTTAAACCACCTAAAAATGCTTATTACTTGTTGAATTTGCATTCCTATATTTTCTTCCTCTTCACGGCCCACCATTTATTTTCGCCAACAGTTAAGCGAGTATTTGTTGAGGTATTTTTAATATGGGGATTTGTTTGGGGAAATCTTCCAAGCTTGCTCATGCTTCTTCTGAACAATTATCTGGTATGATTCCAAAACCAAGTTTCTGTTTATTAATTTAGTTTCTGATTTATGTAGTTAACGCTGATTATATTAGGAACGAGGCTTAGTTACTCGTGTGTACTAAAATGTCAAAGAATAAAGTTGAAGTGCATCAGTATTAGGACTTTTGCTTTCTCTTCTTATTGAATGTAAATTTAAGGATTTATTTTGTGTAATGAATTTCATAGGATTCAGTGTTACTATGTAATTCAAACGACACAGATTTGATGGGTTCTTGGGATAAGTTTTAGTTTGTGCATTTTGTCCATTACAGATGTTTTAGAAGAAAGGAAAACTTTGTCAATTGAAGCAAATAATCTGCCCTCATAATTGAGTTTCGTGTGGATAAATTTTTTGAAGGGGCATTTACTACTACTGTTAAAATTCTTGGCTTCCGAAAATTTGACTTCATGATAATTGGAAACATATGCTAATTTGCAAAACATTGGTGGAATGTTTAGTAAGTTGGATTGGATAATACGAGAAAGTATTAAAATGAAAAATAAGTTAAATTAATCTTGAGTATTGTAATGTCAAGTCCTGTACGGTACTATTTGCAAATAAGTTCTGAATGTTTACAACTTTTGATGTGTGAATTTCAAAGGAAAATCTGGTATTGACTTAACGTCGATTTCTTTTTTCAGATGGTAAAGCTGCACCTCCTAACACAGAACAGTGTTCAAATCCTTTAAACCAGCCAACATTTTCAGGGTCCTTGTGCAAAGCTCTTATAGCATCAAAAGGTGTCTCCAGCAACTTGAAATCCTTTATGTTCAACGATCTCAGGAATGCCACGAGGAACTTCCGAAGTGATAGTCTTCTAGGGGAGGGAGGCTTTGGATTTGTCTTTAAAGGATGGTTAGACGAGCACACATTGGCTCCGACCAAACCAGGAACCGGGATGGTAGTCGCTGTCAAAAAACTTAAGGCCGAAAGTTTTCAAGGCCACCGGGAATGGCTAGTAAGCAAATTATTAACTTTTCTTGCTGTATTGAGAGCATGTTTGGCTTTGCTTAAAAGTGAAAAAGTAAGTTAAGAATTACTTTCTAGAAAAATAAGTTTTGTTTGGAAAAGAAATAACCTTGTAAATCACGTTTGACAAAATAAGTAACTCAAAGTAAGTTTAACTTACTTCTAGACTTGGCAAATCACAGCCAAACATGATTAGAATACTTGCCTAGTATTCCGAGTTGACTTTGTTTTATCTGTTGCAATCGACAGACCGAAGTAAACTACTTAGGTCTTCTGCATCATGAAAATCTTGTGAAGTTAATTGGGTACTGCTCAGAATCTGAGAGTCGGCTTCTAGTCTACGAGTACATGACTAAAGGAAGCTTGGAAAATCATCTGTTTAGAAGTAAGTGAATTTTCTTCTATGGATTATTCCTTTCCATTTATATAACTACCCGTTGTTTGTTATTTTCGTTGTCAATTTATGACGTGTTTGGATCCATCTACTTGGCCATGACCAACACTTTGGATTCCCATGAATGCATGTTGCTACGTAATCTTAATCACGCATTTTTTAGGAGATGAGTTAATACAAAATCCGGAGAAATATTTTGTGAGTAATGGGTACGACATTTTGTGCAGAAGGCGGGCAACTTATGGCTTGGCCTACAAGGATGCATATTGCAGTTGATGTTGCGAGAGGATTATCCTTCTTGCATAGTTTGGACGCCAATGTAATCTATCGCGACCTGAAGGCATCCAATATACTACTAGATTCGGTATGATAAAACATTGGAACTTCAAATTGTTAGCCGATAATATCCACTTTGGTGTTATATATTTGATCTTATTTTTGCAGGACTTCAATGCAAAACTTTCAGACTTTGGCCTTGCAAGGGAGGGTCCTAGTGGAGATAGAACTCATGTTTCAACCAGAGTAGTGGGTACTAGGGGTTACGCTGCACCGGAATATGTTGCAACAGGTTACTTTTTCACTTAATTTCTCATTTTGGTACTTTTTTTCGCATACTGCTTAGTCTTATATTTTGCTTAACTAAAACGTTCAAACAGGCCACTTGACTCCAAAGAACGACGTGTACACGTTCGGAGTCGTTTTATTAGAGCTATTATCTGGTAAACGTGCAGCAGGCGATGAGAATGTGGGAGGTGCCGATGAAACCTTGGTGGACTGGGCAAAACCATTCCTAAACGATAGTAGGAAAGTCTTGAGAATTATGGACTCAAGGTTAGGAGGTCAGTACTCTAAAAAGGAGGCACAAGCTACAGCTGCCCTTGCATTACAGTGTCTCCACACAGATCCTAAACATAGGCCAGCCATGTCTGAGGTCCTGGAAAAGTTGGAACAACTTCAAACAATAAAAGATGGCCCCAGAAGTTCACCCCAAACCCATGCTAAAACTAATGTGTTTGAAAAGTCGAGCCCTCACAAAACAGTACGATATGTTGGTCGAACAAGATAAGCCTAACACGTACACAGATTAGACGCGCTCAGCTTGAAATTTATGCAAGATCAGCCTGTAGTGTAATCAGTATAAAGGACTGCGATATGTTAAAGGACTGCGATATGTGTTACTTGTCTGCTATGCAGTGTGTGAATATGTGAAGAAGAATGGATTGTCGCTGCCCGACATAAATATCATACTTGTCTACTATGCAGTGTGTGAATATGTGAAGAAGAATGGATTGTGGCTGCCCTACATAAATATCGATATATTCTGTTGAATTATAGAGGATTTCGAGCAATTTTGTTATGCTCAAACTAAGAATTCGTAAGCGTTGTATACTTGGGCATCTCTGCATTTTCTTCTGATGGAATCAGTTAAATCTGGTCTGTAAAAGAGAAATTTGATGCCTTAATTTTGGTTGTAGCATCACATACCATTAGTTCGACTCTACAGCGTGTATATTTGTGGATTCTTACATAATGTTAAGGAACTCTACGGTGTGTATATTTGGGGATTCTTACATAATGTTAAGGGATAATTAAATGATCTGCACAATCGTTATTACTATTTTTGCTTCGTTTTTTATACTTATAAGTAAATTATCTACTCAAATCAGTCTTGGTAATTCATTTCTCTAGTAGGAAACGGTATTTTCACCACGTGCTCACTAAGCCCTTATTTCATCTCCATTATTTTCAAAATACATATTTCGTTTTTTTCTTTTTAACCATACATTCTTCAATAAAATAATATTATACGCAAACAAAATTTTTTTCCTTATCTTTTAATCACGCATTCTCCATCAATTTACTATTCTAAAATGCATTCTCATTGAAAAATGGGGCTCAAACAGGTGTTAAATAAGCTTTCCATAAAAAGATAAAAAAATGGTACGCTCTATTGGAAGGCCCAAGAAAATTTGAAGGGGGTCAAAAGATTTTTGTCCTTGTTTATTTAGGTCCCGTTGGGTACACATTAATGTAAAAATCAAAATAAAAAATATAGCTGTTATGATCTCACATAAGAAATAGAAAGTTAAATATGGTGATTTGATATGATGGGTAACAGTCATATTTTTTTATTTTAATAGGCAAAAAATGAAAAACAAATGGGGGCTTAGTGGTGTGAAATAGATTGTCTTGGATTGGTTTTAGGTAAGCACAACTACAACAGGCGTTATGCCCTTATTAAAACTTGATGTTCATATTAAAAGATCAACTTTATTAAGATAAATAGTTCGAACATTTTAATTTCTTATGATTATCACGTGATTCTCGTGAGAAAGGATCTTAGAAATTTCAAAGCTAATCAAAAGATTTTTATTCTTGTTCACTTAGTGGTGTTAAATGGATCATCTCGGTAAGATCCGATCTGCCCATGCACGAGCCTAGCAAAGGTATAATAGGCATGATGTGCTTATTAAGACTTACATAAATTATCGATTTGAGGTTTAATCTGAAAAAGTCAACTTTGTCTTGAAGTAGTCCAACAGTCCAAGCCTTTACATATTGATTTTTGTTTCGATAATTAATTGATGTGAAATTTATCCCTTAACATATCATCGCAAAATGATAAAAGAACACTAATTTTGATACATGCGTGCTCATGTGAATATTAGTTAGATCAAATCCGTTGTCGAAGTTTAATGAATTTTGATACTATATTAAAAATAGGATTACATTTTAAAAGATCGTACTTGTTAAGTAAAGTAGTCCAAATCTGTTTAACCCATGTGACTCAAGGCTGTTTGAAATTGGATTTTGAAGACAATCTAAAGACTTCTATTCTCATCCACTTAGTGGTGTCAAAAAGGCCGTCTTGAGGCAGCACAGCTCATGCTCGAACCTAGCACAGCCAATGCAGTAGATGGGCTGTGGAGGCCCATCTTAGCAGTTAAATCAGCCCACAATGGAACACTGAGTCGCAAGGCTCTAGGCTGCTAGCCCGAAGCCCAATTGGTAAGCCCATTCTTCATATTGACGGAAATAATAATAAAAGAATAGGCACTTACACGTGTTAGCTGGTTTATTGTATTTTTTTTTTTGGGATACCTAGGTGTCCGCTTTACAGCGACTAATTCTGGAGCCTACGATCTAGCCTTTCTTCACGCAAATCATTTTTAAACCATGGTTTGTGCCCCAAACTGGTCAGGATCTAAGAGTCCTCCCAACTGAACTGTCAAAGTGTCGAGTGAGCCAAACCCATGTATGCTCCTTGCCTTTCAGGAGAACTCCTGCCTTCCAGGAGAAAGCCTGCCTTCCAAGAGTCTCATGAATCAACCCGTGACCTCTAAACTGTCCGCTTTGAAGAACTCCGTCCTTTGCCAGTTGGGATATACCCCGGGGGGCCTTTTTTGTAAATTATTATTATCACATGGTGATGTTGAAGCCGATATAAATTATGTACAACCATTTACTGTGGACAATACGGACATATACTCTAGTGAGAGCTATTCAGTCCTTTTCACCACTGGTCAAGAATTGTTGGATTTCAGTTGGGTCAAGAGGAAGACAAACCAAAGCCTCACCATTCTGAATTACCGTCCCACCATCGCGTCTCAACCGACTGCTGCCGCCAACACCGCCACCATTGTCACCATGGTGGGATGATTATGACTACGCCAAAGCATTTTTCTAACAAGATTCTTGCCCTTGAGGGTTCCCGTAAGCCACCAACTATATATGACAGAAGAATTATTCTACTCAACACCACAGTCTTGCATAGTTGGATTTCAATTAAACATTTTATAAATACAGATTTTTTCTACAGAACTTATACAGAAAGATAGTTTTCTTCCTGTAATTGGCTATTGCCAAAAACAGTTTTTTAGCAATAGAAAATCACAAGAAGAAAGCTATTTTTTCTATATCAATTCTGTTAAAAAAAATCCGTAGTTGCTGATTAATTGATAAAATTTTTAAACTTTCTATTTATGACAAAAAAAAAAAAAATCCTGTTTGAGCCTCAAATTTTTTTTTTCAAATTCATTTTAAACTGCACGTTTTCTTTTAACTACACATTCACCAAAAAATCATTATTACAAAAACTACTCTTCCAAAATGAGGCTCAAACAAAAGGTAATGTGAAGTTCATTTCTTGCATTCTAAATATTAGATATACAAACATAACAAGGGGTGTAAAAATGGGTCGACCTGCTGAGACATGGCAATGCCTGCCCAACACTTACTCACAAGATAAGACATACTAATTAAATCACGTGGTATTGTATTGACACTTCTATATTAGGTTGAGTCGAGCTCTATAAACCTACTTAAGTCAGGGCATAGCTCTCTGGGCTGACGAGATCACACTCTCTATTGGTTTGCCTTTTGTGGTTATTGACTTTTCTAGCTTTGAATTCAATGGCATGGGCTGAGGTAGTCTAACTCGATAACTCCCCTAGGTAGCTTAGGGTGACATAAGCTCAATAACAACATACTTGTCCGATCGAGCTTATGGATATAAGCCTATGTTTAGCTCATTTTTATAAACAGTTATAAACACTCAAGCAACATTTTAATTCACACATTTCTAAGAACCAACAAGTACTATTTACTTATCTATAACCCATTTGTATCTTTTTATAATTTAAGATTATTTGTTTGGGTTTCGACTTGGTCACATTTCTTACTTTTTCTAGACGTGTAGTTTGCGTGAGCTTGAGGTATCTAAACAACATCTAATACAGTTTGGAAACGCTAGAGTCTGTTCGTCAAAATCCCGCAAGCGTACGAGTTCATTGTACAAGTAATCATCGTGATGAGAGAGTTATCGTCCCACAGAGAATAAGGATTAATTCAAGTATATTTGATATATTTAAATTCGTGTTTATAACCGAAAGACGATCAATGAATAACTAACTAATTTTTTTTTTATAACTAGAACTTATGGAATCAATGAAAATTGGTTTTAAAAAAAAAAAAAATCAAATGTGCGAACGTATTGGATTTTCGATGTCATTGATCAATTCTTAGTTCTAATTCTCAACTAATAATGGTTATCTTAATTCATGCAAGTGCGACAATCGATAATTTCACATGTAATTATTATTCTTTCTCCAGATATAATAAACCTATGGTTACCACGAGACGATCTTATTCCTAGTCCGAATTCATATGACAAACATACATTGACATTTAGGATTATCACATAAGATCGCACACGCCACAAATATTATTTCTAACATTTATTGTTCGTGTGTTCCAATAATAATGTTCTACCTATCGTGAGTTTTCTAATACTACGAATAAGCAACTTATTATCCTAATGGTGCGCAAACATTAAAACAATATAAATAGGCATATTACTAGAATCACAACACAAGAATTAAGATAAAAACACAGGTCTCTAATTAAAACTAAGAATTCAACAATTTTGTCATTTATCCAATACATGAAATTATTTAGTCTAACATAATGTTGGGATTAAACAAATAAAAGTGGAAAGACATCACTGAGATTTGACGACAAGTGATTAATTTTCCAATTAAAGCTGCCTTTTCTTCCAATTTTCAGCCTTCTACGTGTGTAATTCTTCCCAATTTTTGGCTGCCAGTATACCTTTTTTTGTTTGTTGGGTGTACGTATATAACTTCTATCAAAGGAAATTATTACAATAATCTTGGTAATGATGTTGTCAATACTATTGAAGGAAAATGAAGCAATCAATCGCTAGAATTAAGCAAATCAGTATTGCTGATATATTGCTGGAGAAATCTGCATAGATAGCAAACAATTTACAAATTTGATTTAGCCTTTTATAGCTCCTAGAATCATGGATTTTCTATATGAGATTTGTCCTGTATTTTTTGTATATAAGTAGTTGAAGATCAATGAATTAATACAGAGCTTCCAATTCTAATTATTCTACAAATTGTTCATGGTATCAGAGCCAAAAACCTGCAAGCCTTGAAATTATGTCTTCATCTTCCAACCAAAATAAAGAACCTACTCTTGGAATTCAAGCCTTCCACCAGTGCTCTAGCTTAATTTCAGTTAAACTAAGCACATTAAATATACTCTTATGGCGTTCCCAAGTCACTCCCTTAATCCGTAGTCTTGGTCTGTTTCATCATCTTACTAGTGATGAAAAACCAAAAGAGGAAATCGAAGATGACGAGGGCAAAAGGAAGCCAAATCCGTTGTACCAGCCATGGATTAACAATGATGGACTACTTTCTTCATGGCTTCTTGGGACCATGAAGGAAGAGGTCATGAGTTTAATTTATTGTGAGGCTGATATCGCGTATAAGATCTGGACTAACATTGAAGAACAATTACTTCCTGTAATTGTGGAGAAAGAAGGACTGCCGAAAAATATGCTCATGAATATAAGAAAAGGGACAAAATCCCTTGATGAGTATTTGATAGAATTCAAGTCAATCTGTGACAATCTCGCTGCCATCAAGAAGCCAGTTTCAGACAGCGACAAAGTATTCCAGTTCGCTCATGGCTTGGGTAAAAAAATATAGGGATTTCCGAACAGCCATGCTTACCAAGCCTCCATACCCTTCATTCAGCCAATTTTTATTAGCTTTACAGGGGCACGAACAAACTATACTTTCACTGAGAGAAGAAGAGAGGACATACTTGGAACATGCACAAGCTTATTTTGGCCAAAGAAGTCGTGGTCGAAATGGTCGTGGTGGCAGAGGAAACTTCAACTCTCGAGGCGAGGGTTTACTCCAGTCGGAAGATACAACTCTCAAAATGGTGGAAAATTTTTTCACACAAATGCTGGACCATCAAACAACAATACAAAACCACAGGCCAAAAAGGAAAATCTTGTTGAACAACCACTCCAACATCAGATTAATCCCAGTGACAAACTTACTTGCCAAATTTGTGGAAGATCAAATCATACTGCCATTGATTGCTGGTACAAGTTTGATTATTCACATCAGTCACAATCTTCCTAAAGCTCTTGCTACATTCAATCTCAATGCTTCAAACGATGAGTCATTTTATGCAGATTCTGGAGCTACTTCACATATGATAAATGATGCAGGTAAGTTATCTTATATTGAACCATATAGAGGTAATGATATGATTTATGTTGGAGATGGCAATGGTTTATCTATATCTCATGTTGGTAATGCTCGTGTTAATACAAAAGGAGGACAATTAAAATTGAAAGATGTTCTTGTGGTACCTGATTTGAAAAAGAACTTGCTATCAGTTGGGAAATTTACTAAAGATAATTCATGTTCCTTTGAATTCACTGCAACTAGATTTTTTGTTAAGGATCAAAATCAAAGGGTGATCGCGAAGGGGCATAAGCAAGGTCAATTATATGCATTAGATGGAGTTTTTCAAGAGGCTTTGAGTGCAATAAAACAAGGCAGTACATCGTCTGCTATTTGGCATCAACGGCTCGGCCATCCTCATTCAAAGTTACTATCTTTGTTAAAGGAGAAGAAGGCAATTGATATCACTCGTTGGATAACTCAACCTTCATTGTGTGTTAGTTGTCAATTGGGCAAAAGTTGTAAACTGCCATTTAAAAGATCAAATAAAACTTCTCAATTTCCTCTTGAAAAGATACATTGTGATCTTTGGGGTCCAGCCCCATTGCCTTCTACTCAGAAATTTCGATTTTATGCACTCTTTGTGTATGTCTATACGCGATTTACATGGTTGTATCCTTTAAGACGAAAAATGGAATTTTATGATCAGTTTCTCAAGTTCCAGAAACTGGTTGAAAATCAGTTTGATAGTCGAATAAAAATATTCCAATGTGATGGTGGGGGTGAATTCAGCTCTAATGCCTTTACTGAACACTTACAGAATTGTTAGATAGAATTGCATGTCTCTTGCCCAGGAACTCCTGAACAGAACGGAGTTGCAGAACGAAAGCATCGGCATGTAGTCGAAACGGGCTTAACAATGCTCTTTCACGGAAATTTACCTCTAACATTATGTGCTGAACTCTTTCTGACTGCTGTATATTTAATAAACCGTTTGCCATCTGCAATGTTACAAAATGAAAGTCCTTACTCTAAACTCTACAAGCGGCAACCTGATTATAATAGCTTTTGGGTGATAGGGTGTCATTGTTTTCCTTCACTGAGACATCAAAGCAGGTCCAAATTTTATAAGAAAACTTATCCCTGTGTTTTCATTGGGTATAGTCCAATTCACAAAGGTTATCGTTGTCTGGAACCAACATCAAGAAGAGTTTACATTTCACGACATGTTGTATTTGATGAAGAAACCTTTCCTTATAAAATGAAGCCAACCACTGCAAATTCTTCTTCTTTGGTGCTGTCAGAATTTACTTCATTGGATGAATGGATTGATGACAAATCAAAGTTTCTAGGTGATCATTTGCCAAAGACTGATACTATTTTTCTAGGAAATGATGATGAGACAAAAACATTGAACAATACTGATATTGGTGAAATATCTAACCAGAATTTTATAGAACTAATTCCAGGAAATTCAGATGTCATCAATCTAGCAGGTGAACCTTCTCCAAGCCATGATGATATCTCTGAAACGTGCAACAAAAATTCCACAGATTTGATTTTGCAAAATTCAGATGCTATCAATGCAACAGATGAACCTAATCCTAGCCATGATGTTACCGAAATGTCTGAGCAAAAATCTACAGATTTAATTCCACAAAATTTGGAGGTAGTCAATATAATACCCACTACAGATGTTCGCGTTTGACGTCGTCCAGCGTATTTGAATGATTATGTGGCACTTGCAACTGACAAGGAGTCTATTCCATTGCCACCAGAGCCAAAGACCCTTCGATCAGCTCTCAAAGATTCACGATGGATTGTTGCAATGCAAGAAGAATTGCAAGCACTTCAAAATAATGATACGTGGCAGCTTGTACCTCGACCAAAGAATGTTAACATTATGGGTTCAAAGTGGGTCTATCGCCTTAAAACTAAAGAAGATGGATCCATTGATCGATTCAAAGCACGTTTGGTAGCTAAGGGGTTGACTCAGGTATGTGGTGTGGATTATGATGAAACCTTTAGTCCAGTAGTCAAACCGACTACTATCCGACTTGTTATAGCACTCTCTCTCTCCTTTGGCTGGACTATGAGACAACTTGATGTTAAAAATGCATTTTTGCATGGAAATCTAAAGGAAACTATCTACATGGAACATCCACCTGGTTTCATTAATTCAAATCTGCCAAACCATGTTTGTTTATTGAAGAAGTCATTAAATGGATTAAAACAAGCACCCCGTGCTTGGTTTGATCGACTCTCCCAATTTTTGCTTCACCTTGGTTTCTACTGCAGCAAAGCAGATCCATCTCTATTCATTTACCACACTAATGATATTACTGCAGTACTACTAGTGTATGTGGATGATGTTCTCCTTGCAGGCAACAGCAAAAATTTTCTTTTTCATTTAATCACGCAGCTTGGGCATGAATTTGCAATAAAAGACCTTGGTAATTTGCATTACTTCCTTGGCGTGGAACTTAAATTCTTCAATAGAGGTGTTTTTCTTTCACAATGTAAATATATATAAGATCTTCTTCGGAGAACTAAGATGTTGGAAAGTACTTCAAATGCCACTCCTATGACCCTTAAAGAGAAGCCTACATCTGTTGATGGTGATCAAGTGGACCCTTTTGTTTTTCGAAGTATTGTTGGGGCTTTGCAATACCTTACATTCACAAGACCTGATATAATTTATACAGTTAATCGGGTATGCCAAAATTTTAGCAATCCTACTCTCGTACATCTAAAGGCAGCCAAACGAATTTTGCGATATCTCAAGGGTACTCAAAATTTGGGTTTAAGATATCTCTGTCAAAGTCCCATATCACTATATGGTTCAGTGATGCCGATTGGGCTGGCTGTCCTACTATACCATGAAGCACTACTGGTTATTGTGTTTATCTTGGAGCTAATTGCATTTCATGGAGCTCTAAGAAACAATCGACTATTTCTTGATCAAGCTCTGAAGCTGAATACCGTTCCATGGCATCCACAACAGCTGAAATTACATGGTTAACATTTTTGCTACGAGATTTGGGTGTGTCACTCTCACGGCCTCTTCAATTGTTTTGTGATAATATGAGTGCATTACATATGTAAATCAATCCAATATTTCATGCCCCGTCAAAACACATTGAACTCGACTACCACTTTGTTCGTGAAAAAGTTGCTATGGGAACACTTGTAACTCGTTATATTCCATCTTCCTCTCAACAAGCAGACATCTTTACAAAATCATTACCTAGAGATGCCTTTACTGTATTTCGAAGCAAGTTGGGTGTTCATGACCATTCTCACTCCAACTTGAGGGGGTGTATCAAAGGAAATTATTACAATAATCTTGGTAATGATGTTGTCAATACTGTTGAAGGAAAATGAAGCAATCAATCGCTAGAATTAAGCAAATAAGTATTGCTGATATATTGCTGGAGAAATCTGCATTGCTGATATATTGCTGGAGAAATCTACATAGATAGCAAACAATTTACAAATTTGATTTAACCTTTTATAGCTCCTAGAATCATGGATTTTCTATATGAGATTTGTCCTGTATTTTTTGTATATAAGTAGTTGAAGATCAATGAATTAATACAGAGCTTCCAATTCTAATTATTCTACAAATTGTTCAACTTCAGCACAAACCTCAATATTTTCCTCCAAATTCCAACCCTTTTTTTGTAATTACAGCTGCACCTTTCCTCCTATGATTTTTCTCCACTTTGAAGTGAAATTTACAGCCGTGTGTTGTCTTCTTTCCTAGTAGCTCTCTACCTTTTTCTCTACTTCGTTGGCTGCCGTATGTCATGTGTGATATATATATATATATATATAATTAAGAAAAGAGAGGAATTGCTGGGAGGTTAATTTGGGGCTGACCTTGATTATTTTGCCGAACAATTCACGCACCGAAGTAGCCAGCCGGTGGAATTCCAATTAATCTTTTCTTTCTCGTTCCCTGCCGACAGTAACTTGTATATATGTGTAAAAAATTCCTCCAGCAGCAGATTTTTTATTCTAAAGCAAACGGTGTTGGAAAATAATTAGTAAAATGGGTCAATTTTGAGTCCAAATTTCAGTGGAACCCACACTTTAATTAATTCGGGACCTAGCGTATTCACGTTCCGCTCCACGGGGTGATTAACGTAATATATTTATTTGTCGAAAATCATTTAGATTTGAATGAAATATTGAATTTCAAAGTAACCCACTTGAAACTATAAATCATGGAAGAATTTGATTTATCAAACACTTATCTCACATAGAAAAGTTAGGAAACTTTGGTATGGTTTATATAGTGGAAGTTTGGGAATTGGGTTTGGGCCCCAAGGGATACCAGTAGTCTTTGGAAGGGGGGAGACCTATATCCTATCGGGTTCGGTCATAAACCCATATGCAAGCGCCACCGCCACCGCCGCTGTCCGTCCGTCCGACCGGCTCGACACGGCACGAGTTCAAGTCTGGTCCGGTTCGGGTGCAGGTTGGTCCTTGCGCTATATTAACTTTTTGGACAAAATTTATTTGAATTTTTGGAACCAAATTGTAAATAATCAAATTCTCGGGTATTTAATGAAATTAATTTTGGTTTATTTCCAGGTAATTTTTCATGGTCTGGATGGTCTGTTAAATAGTCGTCTGTTAACCGACTAAACCGGTGCAGTATCGAACAAACATGTCTGTTCAAGTTTTGAAAGCTGTCTGAACAGTGATGACTGTTCGAGGTGATGTTCGAATGGCCACGAACGAGTCTATAAATAGCTTGCCCTGCTGCAGAAAAATTACACCATTTTCATTGTAAATATTCTCTGTATTAAATCTCATCCTCCCTCTCTCTCGTCCTGATATTATTTTCGAAGTTAAAACACTTCGTTGCGCTCGTTGAAACTCCTGTAAATTGATGTGCCGCTTCCGTAGGCGACGAAATTCATTCTATTTTGAGAAACGATTGCTGGACGCCTTTAGCATCGTTGAAGGCAACAAATTCGTTTTAAGAAAATATTGTGAAGTGGGTGGGCTCGAATTAACATTTGATCATATTTTTACGCTGTTCAAAATTACATAAGATAATTTTGTCGGATTATTTCAAGGAGAAACTTATACTCCAGAAACAACAATCTTAAAACAAATTTGTTTTTTCTGGTTTATTCTGTTTCTACCCCTTCTTATCGTCTATCTTCTGATTGTGTTTCAGAAATGGTAACTTTTGGTACTACACTCCTGAATACGACCGGGGAAAAATTAGAGAAATTTAATGAGTTAGATTTCAAGTGCTCGCAACAGAAAATGCTTTTTTATCTAACAACATTAAGTTTGACAAAATTTCTCAAATAAGATGCGTCTTCATACACTGAACAAGATAGTGATGTTGAGAAATTGGTTGCGGTTGATGCATGGAAGCATTCTGATTTTCTATGCAGAAATTATGTACTAAATGGACTGGATAACACATTATATAATGTGTATTGCAATGCGAAGTCTGCAAAAGAACTATGAGAATCTTTGGACACTAAGTACAAATCGAAGATGTCGGCACAAAGAAATTCATTGTCGATCGTTTTTTGGATTATAAAATGGTTGAAGCAAGACTGTCATATCCCAAGTTCAAGAACTTCAAATCCTATTCAGCGACATCTATGTCGAAGGAATGAAACTAAGTGAATCATTCCATGTTGCTTCACTGATTGAGAAATTACCGCCTTCCTAGAAGGACTTCAAGAATTATTTAAAGCATAAGCGGAAGGAAATGAAACTTGAAGATATCATTGTCCAATTGAGAATTGAAGAAGACAATCGTAAATATAGAAAAAAAAGGAGTGGTGCATCTCATGCGATGGAATCGAAAGCCAACATTGTGGAAGGAGGTTTAAAGACAAGCAAAAAGAGGAAACACAATGGAGAAGGACAAACTGGTTCTTCAAAAACTGCTAAAAAGTTCAAAGGTAACTGTTACAATTGTGGCAAGGCAGGATATCAATCCAAGAACTGTCGAAAGCCAAAGAATTTCAAGGGAAAAACTCATCAAGCCAATGTAATGGAACATGACAACCTCTCTGATAAGGCACAAGATATAAATCTTTCTGCGATCGTCTCTGAATGCAGCTTAGTTGGAAACACTAAGGAATGGTGGGTGGATACTGGAGCTACTCATCATATATGTTCGAATTGCGGGATATTCTCTACCTACAAAGCGATGGATCATGATGAACACCTCTATATGGGAAACTCTTCATCTTTCAAAGTAGAAGAACATGGAAAGATAGTACTAAAATGACAAGTGGAAAGGAGCTCACTTTGAATGACGTTCTTCATGTGTCAGATATTCGAAAGAATTTGGTTTCTGGTTCCTTATTAAGCAAGAACGAATTTAATCTAGTATTCGTTTCAGACAAATTTGTATTTATAAAGAATGAAATGTTTGTAGGAAAGGGTTACTTGAATGAGGGGCTCTTTAAGTTGAATGTAATGACCGTTGTACCTCCGATTATGAATAAAATTACATCTTCTTCTTACTTGCTTGAGTCATTTAATATTTGGCACGAACGATTAGGACATGTAAATTATAATACTTTGTGAAGACTAATCAAATTAGATTTATTACCTTTAAATCCTAATCACAAATGCGATATATATGTAGAAGTCAAAATGGTATGTTTACCCTTTCGTTCTGTTGAAAGAAGTACCAAACCCCTAGATTTAATCCACACTGACATATGTGATTTAAAGTTTGTTCAAACTAGAGGAGGTAATAAGTACTTTATCACTTTTATTGACGATTGTACTCAATATTGCTATGTGTATTTACTCAAAAGTAAAGACGAAGCAATTGAAGTATTTAAACATTACAAGTTAGAAGTTGAAAATCAACTTAATAAAAAGATTAAGGCCATAAGAAGTGATAGAGATGATGAATATGATTCTTCATTTGAACAATTATGTTCGGAACATGAAATTATTCATCAAAATACCGCGCCTTATTCTTCTCAATCCAATGGTATTGCTGAACACGAGAATCGGACATTGAAGGAGATGATGAATGCTATATTAATAAGTTCTGAATTACCATAGAACTTGTGGGAGGAAGCTTTACTTTCTACCAATTATATTCTTAACAAATTACCACATCGAAAAATGAATAAAATACCTTATAAAGTATGGAAATGTCACAAACTTAATTATAAATACTTGAAAGCATGGGGTTGTTTGGCTAAGGTAGTAGTTCCTAAACCTAAAAAGGTTAAGATAGGACTTAAAAGCATTGATTGATTGTGTATTCATTGGCTATGCCTACTGATAAGTGTGTTTTTACACACTTATTTAGCTCACAAACATGACTTAAATATGGACAAAGTAGTTGAATTGTGACTTAATCTCGTTAAATTCATGCAATGTAGGTGTTTCTATGGAAAAGATGAAATTCAGAAGAAAAGAGCCGAAAAAGGATCAAAACGGAACAAAGCGATAGTTCGGGGACCAAAGGTGCAAATATTGAAAAGTTGAGCTAAAGTGCAGTACTAGAATGAAAATATATCAAGTATGAAATTGAGGACGATACAAGACGATCGGAGGAAGAAAGAAGTAACATTGGACTGAATTGAAGAAAAGTGAAAGATGAAGGACTAAATTGCAATTAATCAAAAGATGAGCCGAGCAAGTGATCAAGGAATTGATTGACCCAAACATCAATTAGGAGTCAATATTTGATAATGGAATAAAGGAAAGAAAGAAAAGAGATCTAGAAAAGAGAAAACGGAGTTCAGGGACCAAAATAGCAAGGTTGTAAAGTTACAACCTTGCGGCCGCATGCAACTATACCATGCAGCCGCACATGAACCAGCAGGGATTTTATTGGGGGAGATCATTTGAACCATGTGGTCACATGGCTTAAAAATGCGACGAAAATTCTGAACTTCCATTTTTAATTGAAACTCCTTCAGGGTCCCATGAGGACATGGTATAAAAGTCAAAATTCATCAGAAATAGGGCAGAACGTCCAGAGAGAAGATAAATACAACTTTTGGA